TAGAATTTAATAAGTGTTATTAAATAATATATAATTTTATAATAATAAGGTATAATTACCCGGTTTAAATAAAATTTATTAATTTAGAATAAAATTTATCTAAGAATAACAGTAAATAATCTTTTTATAATATATAAATAACTGACTATTACTATATATAACTGTTACTAAACTATACAATAACAGTAAATAAATAAGTAATTACTGGTAATAATAGTGAATGATAGTAATACACTATTATTAAATATTATTGAATATACTACTACCCTCACTACACGGCCCTTCGGGCCCCTATGTAGAGAGGCGTCTTTATAATTCTTCAATAAAGCGCACTGGGTGCTAGAGATGTTGCTACTCTCGGGTGTTATGCATCCATCGGCTTTTCAAGACCGCGGCGGAAATATATTTCGTGATCAAGAACACCGGAACTTTGATCAGACATGAGAAATAGTACTTAGCTACTAGTATATAATACACAAAAAATGAAGCGGAGAGGGGCAAAGTCTTCCCAATTACAAGTTATATCATACTGTACATATATCATCAAAATAAAAATCTATTTATACAATCGAACACTGCTTCCCGCCAGCCTAACTCAGATAGTATCATTCCAAACAGCTCCCAAGCGCCTCGCTCTATCCAACTCGAAAGCCAATGCGCAAGCAGTGTTATAAAACGTGTGGAACTCTTCCTTGGACGCAGCAGCATCCCGCGACACATTCTCGGAAGAAACATCAACGTTGGAATCAGCCGACGCAGAACCGTCTGTCATGTCCATGTTCAGGAACAAGTCCGTGGTACGGTACGGGTTGAACGGCCCGCTCTCGTAAAAAGCATAATTGAGCTGCTGGCCACGGAAATCGTACTTGTGAATACGAGTTCCCCGGATATCGCTGACGGGGAGGAAGATGTACTCTGCGGAGCTGTCGGCGGCGTCCCGGGGAAGGATGTCGCGGGGGAGAGTGACTTGTGTGAACGGAGGAAGAGGGAGTTCTCTGTCTGTTGTGGAGGTGCGGGAGAAGAGGCTCCGGAGGGATTCCTCGATGTTTGAGAGGGAGAAGGAGTCGCTGTCCTGGGACTGGGGGAGGAGCTCCCGGGTGAGTTTGCGGGTGAAGCGGAGGTCAAGTCCGTTCTCCGGGAGGAGGTAGTCGACGTTGCTTTCGGAGAGGATAAGTTTTGCGCTGCGCATGGAGAAGTCAGGGGTTGCATCTTCGGGTGTGCTGCTTGTTTTGGCAGTGACTTCTAGCTCGAGTTGGGGGAAGACGCTGGCATTAAGAGCTGATGGGACGAGTCGGAAGCGATAGGATTGTTGGTGCTCGTCCACTGGTTTAGGGGTGAGCGTGCGGAGAAATTGCGCTGCGCGAGGGATGTCGGTGGTGAAGGTCCTTGGGAGTGACATTCTGCCCAGCTGAGAAGCGTTGACCGAGCTCTCTTCGAAGAATGGCTTGCGCAGGAAGAGACATTTGCCGACTGCTGCCGTGATGGATTCATGGAAGTCGGCGCCAGTTTCAGAATGTGCCTGATGAGTGACGGATGATTTCTGTCGAAGTAGCTTGAACAGCTCGTCGGATACCCGAGTTTGATGGTTATCGAACATTACCGTGTCTGAGGGCTTTACCTCGTCAGACTGCGTTGCTGGTGTGGCCCATCGGAACCACGCCTTTTGCCTCTCGAACCATGACGTGTTGTTCTCAGGATCAATGTCATGGACACTGGCTGGCTCAGTTGACGGTAGGTATGTGCTGAACGGTACAGCAGGAGCAGTTCCACTGTAATAGGCAAGGTGCAGGGCCCTACGGGCATTATCTGCATCCTGTTTGTCTTCGGCAAGATAGTAGATTTGGCTTGGCGTATGTGGTGTATTTTGTTCGAATGCTACTCTATAGGTTTTGGTCACCCACGAGAGGAACTCTGGAGTGTAGATGCGGTTGTTGACTTTCGTCTTCGTTTCGTCAGGTGGCAATTCAATGCTTTCTTGTCGAACCCTGGCTATGGCATCGTGTACAATCTCACTGATTGATTCGCAGATACGTTGCATTCCTGTGATCCTCACAAGACCAAGCGAATGCGTAACATCAATCTTTGCGTCGTGCATGTTGGCCAATTCTTCGAAAGAGAAATGCTGCGAACTGAGGAGCAAAGACAGTATATGCGTCGGCAGCTGTATATCTAGTTGACCGACTTCATCAAGGACTCCGAGATGCCAGCAGTCACGGAGTATTCTTTCAGCCAGTAAAAATTTTCCCTTGAGACCTTGCGACGCTGCAACTCTATCGGCGACACCCTTTCGGGAAAGATAACTGCTTTCGAGAAACTCAGAGACTCCGGGCGTCCAGCGTGTGGGCGTCGTCTCTGGTGTTCCGTCCCTGTCCAACTCATTCTCCTTCCATTCTATTATATAGTCCAATAACTGCCGGTAGGTAAATGACGCCTGGAATTCGTTTCGGAGCGCCGTCCAATCGGCAACGGGTAACTTGTGATGAGGTTCATAATCGAGACGGAAACTTTCGACACGAGTTTTGAGCAGCTCGCTATCAACAAATTGATCGTCATTGTCGATTTCCCTCAAAAAGAGAGGAAGGGCATTTTCGTCGGTGACCTCCTTCGGCTCATCCTTGGCTATGCGTAGTCGACGGCGTTGCCGGTCCTTGACCACTACGACCTCACCAGGATTTCCAAGCGAGCTCACAGAAATGGGTACTTTTTTACCCAGTCTCCGTTTGAGTCGGTGGTGCTGGAGACGGTTGTGGCCAGGGGTACGGCGCGAAGATACGCGTTGCGGCGGCGTCTCGTCGTGATTCGCATCAGTTTCGGTGGATTCGAACCGGATAGATACATTATGCCGGCGCAAGGAGGGAGGGAGTAAGCTTGCTCTGCATTCTGGGAGCAGCCGGCAGCCTAGAAGACTTGCTGCACTGTTGGAAGATCGAGACAGCATATGGACCACGAAACCAAATGCACCAGACCGGAGTTCAAGAAAAGCCCGGGATGGAAAGTTGAAGCTCGAATTGATGCAATCTGAACTACCCGCTAGTCCACAAGTGGATTAGCTCATAATGTGGACCCACCCCGAGCATATGGTTATCGGAGACTACGCTTACACGGGGCAGTTATCTACCCCAACATTCTGGTGCCATAAGTGAGAAAACAGACATGTTGAAGAACAGAGGCACGAGTAAAAGTCATAGGGGTATTATCCAAGAGACTGCTTAACGCCACAAAGCACCATACTGAATCACTCCTTGTTCATGACCTCCCAACTTCGCAAATCCTCGCGCACATCGAACTCGGACAGTTCAAATTCCGAACTACGATTCTTCCAAGCCTTGCCTTTGGGATTGTCATACAGTTGCTGTTCTATGCTTCCGCTTTTCCGTGTATGATCAGCGGCTGGGGCAAAGTCTGTTCCTTTCACATCGTTGCGATAATGATTGCTTGAAGAACTCCTTGGTCGCCTCTCAAAATTCGAAGGAGACAATCGATTGTCTGATGAAGCTTGCCTTACGCTTGAGCGCCCATGTGGTGACAGTCGATCTGCCTGATTCTCGACTGATTTCTCTGCACGGGCATCATGCCCATCTGCCCAGCTAATGCTACCGGAGAACAGTTCTTCGATCAGCTTGTCGGCCGGTAAATCATCCGCCCGCGAATTCCAAGACGCGGCCAGTGTGCGGCGGTACATGTCTTGCATATCTGTCACTTCGCGGCTCTGGGTGTTGATCGAGGGAAGCCGGCCCAGATCGTCGTGTTCGCCCTGCTCCGAGGACACAACCCCAGCGATTCCGCCAAAGACCATGGCTGATTTGAGAGGCGGCCTGAATGTCATCAGCAACATGCTCCTCGAAAGTATTGCAGCGCATCCCAGTATAGTATACAACATACGTAATGTAGTTCCGATCCCCTTCGACCTGGCGTGTAGCTATACCAACTTTAAGTGTACTGTTGATCTTGCTATCCTGCATCAAGTATCTCCGGACGATGCCCTCGTCATCGTCACTCTTATCCACATATTCAGAAAGATTGAGTCTGATCCTCCCTAGCAGATTCTTCTCACTGTTCCCCCCTGACGCAAACTCTTGGATGACTTCGAAGTACAATTCGCATTCGTGTAGAGTCTGGTTGCGGTCAATGGTGAGCCTGACCTGCAGGACCTTCTCATAGTTCCAATATGCCCGATGATCTATGATGATCGCCTTATCTGTGTGGCCGTGGTGTTCAGGCGCACTAGATGACGGTAGGCGCCATTTGACGAAAGCGGTACCGCTCACGAGGGGGACATTATTGAGGTCAATGATCTACAACCACCATAGCAGTTAGTTGGTAGGTCATTTGCAATGTGATCAATGGTCCTTACTCTGAGTATCAACTCAAACCGAGGCTGCACCTGGAATTGGCATCTTCAATACTTCCATGGATCGAGCATGATCAACTTACTCTCCGGTTCTTGGGGACTAAAGTTGCATCATTAGCGCAATTGCCAGAAGACATGTCATCCTATTGGGTGACCCGATTTGTTTGATGAGAATAGAATGGGTAACATACCGAAGGCCTGCATGATTGGCAAGCCCGGAGCGAAGTAAACAGACCTGTATCACCTGTCTTTCATCTATTCGAGTGACCGGGTAGCTTCACGACATCCTGAGAGGCGCTGCCGGTCGAGGCCCTCCCCGAACCCCCACATCCGGAGCCAAGGCGGCGAGCTTCCCCCTGACGGCAGGAACTGACCGCCTGAACGTATCTAATCAGGATCACGTACGCGCTAACGTTCGAGGCTTGCAAAGATGAACGCTTTGGTGGATATTTAGAGGCAGTATAGACAGCCTCCAAGTACTAGTAACTGTAAGGACAAGCCAGTTATTGCTGCGAGCCGTAAAGGAAGCTCATTGGAATACAAATGGAGCTGCGGGGCACCGTCTCGGATCAGGTGACCATTAATGGCGGTGAACCGGCAGATGGCAGTAATGGCAACTGACAAAATCCCAGGAACATTCAAGAACTCTCATCACCTCAGTTTCCAATAACCTGCGAAATCTCACTATTTTCTGGCACAATTTACCCTATTGAACTCGAGTTTTGTATATGGTTGTCCAGTAAACGCTCGTTCTCAACAGCCTACATCAATATGGATCAACAACTCCCTCTCTCTCCGCCTTCTGAGCCGACGCCTTCTCCCACAGCCAAGGCGGTCCCGCAGGACTCCCCTGTCCGCACCACTGCGATTCACGAACTGCTACCTGAGATTCGTATTCCGGGCGAACCATTACCGCCGCACAAATACCACCCAGTTACTTGCACTCCCATCGATGAAGAAGAAATACGCTCCCAGATTGAACAACTACGCCAGGAATATCCGACACCAGAAGCGGCCCTGAAGGCGCAAGAAGAAGCTGCCAGGGAAGTGAGGCAAAAGCTGGAAGATGCCGAGAAGAAGCGCGAAGAAGTGCAGAAAGCTATGGACAAGAAGATCAAGGAACGCAACACAGAGATGAAGGTCTTGTCCAAATACCAAGAAGTCAAGACTTCGAACATTGCGTCTTAAATAATGTGTTCGGTCAGATAAGCTTTACACAAACCATGCAGACATATTCATACATGGCCATCAACAAAAGGGCACCGCCAGTCTTCTCAGAGGGGACAAATACAATGAGAGATGAATCATTGTGCGACCTCGAAACCCGGACGACTAGCAGATGGCGCCGAGCAGGTTGAACTCCTCTTTGAGCCGCTCTACTGGAATTGGCACCCAGTGATGGGATGAATAAGCCATACCGTGTGCTCGGCTTCATTCAGGATTTTTTTTCTCCAAAAACCCGGCGTGACAGATTTGAATACGGTTCGGCTTCGATGGAGATCTCTTCTACGGCTCGGAAAACATACTGGCAAATCGAGCTACTTCCTATACAAGGCTTGGAGGCAATCAGGAAGTGTTCATCCATGAACACCGCGATGAGTTGATCTTGCGATTACGGCAAAGCCAGCTCCACACCAGGAACGGCGATAGGAGGTCTTATGACTATGGATGTGCTAATATTAAGACATCGTCTGTACTTGACGTTGAATCGGCAGCACAAGCGTCGTGAACATTGAATGCATCAACATCAAACACATAATTACTCATAGGATTAAAGTAGACTCGTTGTCCATCAGATCGTATATCCTTCAAATATCACGCCTCATTACATTCACAGCGATCCCAAGACCTTAACCAAAGCGGGAAGCAACTATGAAAAGTTAGTCTGTGGCTCACTGTGCGGTTGTTGTTTAGAAGAAACTTACCTCGGAAGCGTCCTCAACGAGTACTTGCGTTTCGTTGACAAACTTCGAAGTCAACAAGTCGTTGGCATTTCCAAGGAGACCGCCGATTTCGCCAAGCATTTCGGGTGTAAGGATAGGCGCAACTTCACTCAGGATCGGCGAAACTTCGTCGATGAGGTTGCTCGTCTCATTGACGAAACTAGGTGTCAACAGGTTCGTTGCGTTACCCAGCAAGTAGTTCACCTTCGTGAGGAGAGCAGGAGTGATTGCAGGTGCCACACTATCGATCAGATTCTGGGTCTCTTCAACGAACTTGGTGGTCAAGAGCTTGTTGGCGTTGCCGAGAAGTCCGCCGACCTCGCCGAGCAACTCAGGTGTGATGACTGGCGAGAGATCGTCGATCAATCCTTGCGTCTCATTGACAAACTTCGCTGTCAATAGGGAGTTCGCATTGTCGAGCAATCCTGAGACCTCTGATAGCAATTGAGGTGTGATGACCGGTGAAAGATCGCCAATTAAGCTACGGGTCTCCTTGACGAAATCGGTCGTCAGGAGGTCGTTCGCATTGCCAACCAATGTTTGGGTCTCATCAACGAATCCGGTAGTCAGCAGAGAGTTGGCGTTGCCCAAGAGACTGCCAACTTCCTTTAGAAGAGCAGGTGTCAAGACTGGAGCCACGGCGCCAATCAAGCCCTGAGTCTCGTTGACGAATGTCGGTGTGAGCAGGTCATTGGCATTGCCCAACAAGCCAGCAACCTCTGCGAGAACAGCTGGTGTAAGTACAGGGGCAACGGCGCCGATCAAGCTCTTGGTTTCCTTCACGAAGTCGGTGGTCAACAGGTTATTAGCGTTGCCCAGGACAGAGTTGATCTCCTTGAACAATTCGGGGGTCAGGTTAGGAGCAACAGTTTCGATCAAAGATTGAGTCTCATTGACAAAGCCTGGTGTCAAGAGGCCATTGGCATTGCTGAGGACCGAGTTGATCTCCTTGAACAGTTCTGGTGTCAAATTAGGCGCGACTGTATCAATCAAAGATGTTGTCTCCTTGACGAAGTTTGCAGTCAACAAGCTGTTGGCATTAGTCAATAGCGTGTTGACTTCCTTCAGCAGTTCTGGAGTCAGGATCGGGCCGACCGCGCTGATGAGCGACTTCGTTTCCTTAACGAAGTCTGCAGTCAGGAGATCATTGGCGTTGTTAAGCAGCGTGCCAACCTCACCAAGTAAATCTGGTGTCAGTACAGGAGAGACAGCTTCGATAAGCTCACGTGTCTCCTTCACGAAGTCGGCTGTCAACAAGTTGTTTGCATTGCCAATCAGGCCGTTAACCTCCTTGACAAACTCAGCAGTCAACAGGTTGTTGCCATTATCAAGCAAGGTAGAGACCTTCTTGAACAATTGTGGCGTGACGAGCGGACCAACCGAGTTGATCAGTTGCTGGGTCTCGTTCACAAAGTTCGGCGTCAATAGGCTGTTTGCATTGTTGAGGAGACCGGTCAATTCTGTGATCAACTGCTTGGTGAGCAGGTTGTACGCAGTGTCGATCAATGACTTCGTCTGGTCGGTAGTCTTGTCATCGAACAGATATGCAAAGTGGTTGAAGAACGACTCAACATTCTTCAAGAATGTTGGCGACAAGAGACCCAGGAGGCCATCGAGGCCATCACCAATGTCCGTTAAAAGATTTCCGGAAGAGCCGCCTGCGGATGATGAAGAACTCGTCGTTGCGGAAGACGCGCTGTCCTGCGTGGAGGTGGCAGACTGACCAAGACCTGCTGCTGAGGGGGATGCGGCAGCAGTGCTGCTTGCTCCAGTATTTTGGCTGGAGCCACCACCAAGGATTCCACCCACCAGTCCACCAAGAAGATCTCCTCCCTGTGACTGGGTGGCGGTTGTTTGGCTTGTCGATTCCGGAGCTGCGGCTGTTTGCTGTACGGCACTGGGGGTGGTTTGCTGACCAGCTACATCGGCAGATGGCTGCTGGTTACCAGTGTCTGTGTTTGTGTTTGTGTTTGCGTTTGACTGCTGAGTGGCAGCATTCGCGTTTTGCTGGTCGGCACTAGCATCGTTGTCTGGCTGCTGCTTGGTACTGGCCGTCTGTTCGGATGCACCAGTTGCTGCCGCCGACGCTGCCGCCGCCGCAGTTGCCTCTGCTGCTGCAGTTGTTTGTGCTGCAACATGTTCCTCAGGTGCCGGGCTCCCCTGTGTAGAGATAGCCACTGATGAGGAAACCTGGGCCGGAGTTGCCAGCGAAGTGCTGGAAAGCAAAAGGGCGGAAAGAAGGGCCGACGAGACGCGCATGTTGAGGGTGCTCTCCACCAGGGAATGCCAGCAATTGACGACGGACGAGTCAGGGTCCAGATCAATGCAGATGGCAGGGCTCCTTTTATGCCTGCAGATACACGGCAGCCACCCGCGCTCTCCACATCGATCCAAATATCGAGACAAGGCCGAGGGCTGTCCTTAACCCCACATGTGAAATGACTAGGACGTGCTGGGGCGTCTCATAATAGCCATACTACCGAGACCATGCGGATTGGCCTCGTCCTAACCTAACGGGGATAATTCCTTTTCGGTCCCTGGTCAAGGACAACGTGACGATCGTCCGTATTGGACCACCAGATGAGTACCCGAACTGGCTACCCACCGCAGGGGAATGCTCCTCTGATCCAACCGAGTAGATGGTTTGATCTGGAGCAGCCTATGCTTGTCGGAGTGAACCGTGCACCTTAAGCTGCGTTAGGGGCACTTAGCCTTGCGGGGGGGCGAATGAATGGGAAGGGAAATTACGAGGTGCACTTAGGATCATGGTTTGGCTCCCGATATGGGCTTATTTTTCCGCTCTAACTTCCTGGGTACCTCGGTGATCGACACCAAAGCCCATCATTTTGAGTCAAGCGAGCATCTGACAAAATTTGCCCTTGCGGCTATGATGCCATGTCGCAATTGACTCCGCGGTGGGTGTTGACACCCAAACAGTGATTGGATGTGCCTTGGGAAATAGGAGTCCTAGTTCCTGGCTAAGGCGTGTGACCTGGGAGGTCCACTCTTTCGACTGTTACCCAGTGGCAGTGTTCGCCGTTCACGTTGGTTATCAGGTTGGAAGCTGTGGGTGACTATCACCTAAGCCATCTACGGCAAATGTTCTCCGACTTGACTTTGCGGGGACGGGTGGAAACAATAGTAGTTTACCGGTAGAACCTGGGTCTCCAGTGATGGACGCTAACTACAGTGTACTCGCACGAGTAGTCGTTGGAATGCCCTCAGTGCAATGGCCAACATAAGTGCCCAACCCACCCGCAGCAGCGAGGTTGCACTCGGAGTCCGCGAAACAGCGCAAGGAGCAGTTGCCGTGCTGCGAGGTTCGGCAAGAGAGATGCTCGGTAACATGTGAAGTAGCAATGGCCCTGGCTACTGGAGTTGGCGAGCGGGCAGTTGGCGATTTAGGTTTCCCCCTCGGACTCGGTCTAAATTAGCTTGATGATCGACGGCGACCATCAAGCGGGGTTGGCGCCGTGGTTCCTCGACAACCACACGAAGGATTTCTTGGTCAAACTGGGGAAGGAATGGGTCAGGGCACACCCATAACCGTTGGTTCTGAGTTGGCTATCATCTATTGAGCATGGTCCCCTCCCGCATTTTCACATCGCCAGTCAACACAAGATCCCTCTCGGTCGCGAGTCATTCTTTTCAACGTCATGACAGTGCATCAATTGAAGAAAGAAACGGAATGTTACATTACTGGACCTGCATAATAAAATTTTCCACGATGCAGTGTGCGGGCTATTTTATGCAGATGGTGGCCTCCACACCCGCATTAACTTTGCGTAACTCCGAGGTATTCCCTCTCACCACCCGAACATCTCACCTCATCCTTCATATCCAGAGCAATGTCTCATCCTAGGATTTCATGATTTCAAAAATCTGATTTCAGAAGCCAATTGATCTTTCACGGCTCCAAAAGATTGTGATCCGCAGCGACGACCGCACCAGCCACCACCGACCTTGGGATGTCAAGAAGATGAGACAACCAAGGGGGAGCTACCCTATCTCTGGTAGATCGCATATTGCAGACTAAAACATTGTGCTACATGACACAGTGCAGACCTTACTTCCAGACTACCACGCCCTCAGAGGCAAAAGCAGGAATTGGAACTGGCAAGGAGAAAGTCATTTGACGGCTCGGGCCCTACTTTCTCGATCAGCAAGGGAGGCCGATCTTGCCGCATCCCAAAACGTGCTGACTCACTTCCATTTCTGTCGTAGATAACCAGATAAGTTTTCTACCACGATGATAATTATAGACACTTTCTAGATCCCATGGAATCATCCAGGTACGAGAAGTTAATTCATCGCTATTCCAGTTGTTCTGGTTTATTATTTGCAGGATGGTGTGCGTGTGTGGTGGTGGTCTGGGTTGGGTTGGGCCCAAAAATCAGACCGGATCTACTTCCGCTCTATTTTGTAACGGTAGCCTGCTTCAGTGGATGGCCCAAATATGGAGTCAAGTCGGTTGGATGATCTGCTACTTAGTTTTTCTCCTTAATTCTTATTCCTCTGTTTTGCGGGAAATCCTTTTCTCTCCTTCCTGCTGCACTGTTGGTTATCACAAAGGGGCAGCTATATCTTTGAGGTTGTTTCAAGCTGACGATGCGAAATTCAGGGTCATCTTATCGCCTTTTCATTCTCTTATCTAGTTCTACTCGGTTCTAGATGCGTTGTCTATCTTTCTAAGTGCTTGATCCAACAACCTTAAGCGGAATATGTAATGTATTCTACGGGTCCTGTTCATTCCTTCACCGGGGCTCATCCGTCCATGCATATCAAAATGGAATACTTAGGAGCCGGTGTTTCACACATAGCCCTATTACCCGTTAAGAGCTCACCTATATACCATCTCAGGCTAGGGCACTGCTAGCTATAGCAGACTTTTCGGGGGTAGACGCACTAAATGAGTCCTCCAACACATTGCGTGATTTATTCATCGAAACGATTTTTGAGCAGACGGAAACTACTTGCCATTTTTCTTACTGGTCTATTCAACACTGATATCGCATACACCTGCCGCAGGATTTTCAGGAACTAAGTACTTGGCGATGGTCCTTGGTGTCGTCTCATAGCAGCATTCTATACAGCTTAATTCAAAATTCGCATTTTTGTTCTCATATCCAATCGAGCCTGCTAGGTAAAATGCTAGGTATACGAATACTTCACCAGTTGAAGCAAGAATGTGGCCCTAGACGCTATCTTCCTCGAACTACAGAGACTTGCAACATTGCATGCTACAACGTAGGAAGGTCTTCGCCGCAGCTAGACTTAGCTAAACTGCATGCAAAGAGATAATAATAAAAGGAGTGTCGCAGCTGGCTACATAGCTACCTGCGAGTGACCCTCCTATCTCTCTCCGTCTTCCACTGCATACTTCCTACTTGCCTGTTCCTTCCTCCTGATATGTGTAGCCTTCCCCGCTGACTTAGATTGGACGTGTTCGGGTTCACTACTCATCATCTTCAACCGCTATCCCCATTTTCCTGAAGCCAACGTGTTTCTGGCTTCGCTAGGTATATTCAGGGTAGGGGTCGAGTCCGACCTGACCGAACCGCTTGAGCAGGCCTGTCCGCAATATGTAGTCAGCGATGTAGCGGTTCGCCTGTGGAACTACCTGCCAGTAATTCCCGGTAAGAGATACTCTTTTACAGTGAAGACGAGGAAGCCTGAATGTATAATTTACTCTACCTCTTTTAGCATGTTTATTGAGCCAGTATCTTTGTTGAGACATTCACTGCAGCCAGACAGGTGTCAATTGATCCTTTGCCTCCTCTTCTTCCTACGTGGTCTCTGACGACCACCTGTGTTAACCATCCAACTCGGACTTGGAAGAGTAAGATCTGATAGAATATGAAACAGCAAGATTGATAAATACGAAGTGGTTCAGACTTGATTCTTACCCAACTGAGCGTTTCTACAGTCTAATTGATATGTCTCTCATTTTTCTTGCATGCTTAAAAGGTGATGAAAGAAAGCATCGACTAGAGCTTGCGAATATTACTCTATCCTTTACTTTTGTACTTCTCTCCCTCTCCATTCTCTTTTTGCTCTGATATAAACACTTGATATACGTAACTTGCGTCACAAGGGTATAGGTAAGTTTGGGATGTTGGTGTGGTGAGCCTGAGGTACTACAAACCAGGTCCAGATTGGTAATATGTCTTGTTGACTCTGCCTCTACAAGTCTTAAGTCAACGCGATTGATCTTGATAGGTAAGTTACATCTCTTTTCTCGGGTAAGGAACTGAAGAAGCTTCTTTCTCTTCCATCTTCGAGCATCCGTCAGAGGGCATGTCGAACATCTGCCAGTGGTTATATGTCTCTCTTGTACTTAATAGGGACTTCTTCGAGCACTTTACATGTGAGTTATGTGACCTTCATATAGTGGAACGAAGTTTGAAAAGTCATGCCCTACCCTTTCCCGAGTAACACAGTACTAATCAATATTCAACATCATTAGAGATAGGAACTAGCTTGAGTAAATATATTTAAAAAGGAAAGATGGGTCATCTATATTTGATTTTGGACCTAGCTCTACACAAGTAGTAGTGTTGTTTCGCTCAAACATTCTTTGCAAATACCTCAGCCTTCCAAGTAAATTACCACTACATAATCACATCTCAGGAAATACCTCAACAATCTTCATCTCTGGAAGAGCTGAGATAGATCTCTGCACGGCTAAAGGAGGGGCAGATCTATCCCGTGAATTAAGTGGGGGGTTCAGGCTGACGATGCATTAGTGGATATTATCAACCGCGATGATTCGACCACAACGGCTGTTCAGCTATTCAGCTGCTCAGCCGTACAGTTCAACAACAAATCCAATCCATTTTCCATTTCAACAAACGCGAGGGCCTAAGCGAAGTGGGGTTACATACGATTCGAGTTGAGGATTATGATATCAGTGACAAACTCAGCTTGATGTTGGTAACTATAAAACCCCCATTCATCTCCCTCCCGTCACGACTGTGTTTTTCCTTTTAAACATCAACCTCCTTTACTATCCAAACCGTGGCTACTAGAAACCCAACTACTAGCACCACTTATTCTTACCGTTATCCTCCACTCCCAAATTCAATTCTTATCAAAAACCTTTCTGCATCATGCCTGTTCCTGCTATTGAGAGGTATGACCTTTTTTTAATCATCCTAAACATATCCTCATCAACTTCCAAATAAATAAGTAACTGACCATGCTCCTCTTCTACACTATCAGTCTCTCCGACTTCCGAGCCCTCATTAACTCAGGCAATGTGGTAATTGTCGACTTCTGGGCTACATGGTGTGGTCCTTGCAGAATGATCAGTCCAATCTTCGAACAACTGGCCTCTAGTCTTGAGTCGAGCGCGATCAAGTTCGCTAAAATCGATACTGATACCCAGCCTGAGATTGCCGAAGAAGCTGGAATCAGAACCTTGCCTACTTTTATGGTGTTTAAAAATGGCCAGAAAGTGGACGAACTGGTGGGTGCTAGTCCCCAAGGCCTGCACGCGCTTATTCAGCGCCATGCATGAGTCTGGGTAAACTATATACTACCAGGTTGTGCTATGTATTTGAGCAAGAAAGGCCTTTGTGTGAAGCGAGATGAGATTGCTATATCTGATATGTGTATTTGTCTTGAATCACTTGCTGGTTCTCTTCTCACTTGGTTTTGTTGATAGCCTAAGTTTCGATTCTTATACCAGGAACTAAACGTAAATAACATACGATAAATGATCTCGTTTAGTGGTAAAAGAAGATCTAAATAGTATACTAATAGCTGTCGCTAATGATAGTACAGACGTATATAATATACTTAAGTAGGACTATATCACTGTAGAATCACGTTCAATCATAAGTAGTCAGGCAGGTGTTATAACACTGGTTCTATAGTAGTACAGACATACTATAGACAAGAGATTGTTTGAAGAGCTCGAAGAGCGAGCCTATCATCTGATAGACTATCAACTTTGTGGCATAAAGTGATCATGAAAACTATTCCATGCCTTATCTAGCCCAACTAATACCCCTTCCTCACGCAGCTGAACATACCCAAGCCCATCACATCCCTTTGCTTTACTCACAACTACTACTTAATCCAGAAGCACCATGCTTCTATCCTATCCAGCTATACAAACCACGAACCAATACCCATATCTCAAAGCTAGACCCATGTGTCCAGTAACTCCGTCAGATCAACGATCTTGAAACACAATGAGATCCTGGACAACCACATATAACCTTGGAGACAAGCTTTTGATGAAGACAGGAAAGAGATAAAAACCCTAATATCGAGACTCACCCAAAGTCACGTCTCTTACTAGAAGAGAATAACATATAAGTCAAAGAAACTTCCGTGAATACGACTCAATGGTGTTTGTTAGACTTGAAACATGTCATTGCGGGTCACTAGCAGTCCTGACGGAAATGAGGGGTTTCATGCTTGTCTTTATCTTGACTTCTTGGGGAGGTTAATTACAAGGGAGTAGGTATATGTGTGTGAGTGTGTGTTACTTCCTGTTCTTTATCATTATCATCATCCCATGATTCATGCTTGGTGTTAGTGAGTTTGGTGCTGAGATGCATATTTCGAAAATTGGGTTCATCGTGTAGTAGGTCCATCGAGCATGATTGAAATACGAAGTAGCTTATGAAAATGTATATTTCACGTGTCCACTATACTCTTTACTACTACTAAAAACCATATATGAGATTTTAGTAGTTTTTTGGATAGGTAGAATCAAGTTAGATTTCGGTTAAGATACTTTAGTAGTCACCAATGAATCTAACCATCTCACCTTCTCCATAAGACTCAGTCTTAGCCATTGAAATCCCACATCTCTGACTCTTGGAATTTATTAGAGGTTATTTTTATACCTTTGCTATCCCCATATCTTTGAATGACATCTCGTCCGGATACATACTATTGATTCTTAGAACTTCACGCATGCTTGACTGAGACTTTCGAAAGAACTTTATCCTATAGATTAGCCAACACGTGATGAATCAGTACTTTATCTCAAAATTTCTTTCAAAGCTGAATTTAACTTTCTTTCCTGAAAGAAAGCTTCGTGTGGCTGTGTAACAACTCAATCCGTGACGTTGGCTGTACAAGCTTCATAATAAGATGTAGAGTTTTACCGTTGGTCTGCAGAATTTGTATGCTCAATCTTAGACTTGCCACTGGTCTTGGCAGTTGGTTAAGTTTCAAAGCTAATCGTGAGTAATATGGCTTGGGAGAAAGGTAAACTTGAGAGTTGGTGCTAATTGGGTTGGAGTTACTTAGAGATTCGAAGGTAAAAGTACTAAGTGGTCTATATCTGGTGCCATTATTTAGCTGATGCGCTGGAAGGAGTGTCAGTATGGGAAGCATAAAAAGGACTGAGTAATAAGTAATATGTATTTATCGAGTGATTGAGTCTTTTAGTTTCACTTAGCTCGTGCAGACTAATAGTGTATTGCAGTCCCTCTGCTCCTTTTTCGCTTGCTCTGCTAGCCATAGTAAATGCTCACCTAGACATCAAAGAAAAAGAAAATTATCGCGATGAACACCATTCGGGATCATTAACATGTCACGCATATAGGCAACAGACCATACATTGAGAAGAAAAAGCAACACAACTAGACAGGTCAGGTGATAAGCGCATCTGTCGTGAACCAGAGGGGTCGAACTTTTGACGACCGGTCCTCTTTCAGAACCTCATGCAGTGTCATCATGATGGTAGTAACCCGGTCGACTTTACCTCATGTTGTACAAGCTTCAAGCCACTGTTGTGACATATCAGGCATCAAAGACAGATCTCACAAGAGCGTTTACATATCGGTTTCAGCATTTACGGCAGGTAAAAGAAAGTTGGGAAGCATGTGCGGTGTTACATTAGAGTCAGCTGTCCAAGGTCTTTTCGCTCAATGCAGATGCAAAATAGCCAGCTGAAAGTGATCTTCTCTCTAGTACGTACCAGAGGTGAGTGACTGTGTGACATATTGTGCATAAAATTCGGCTCATTCTGGAGCCAAAGCACTCTGTGCTCGGATGGTCTTGGTATCTATATAATATAGTTTGGCTGGCTGTGGTGGTCTCAGTCCACATGCTATGCCATATCAATAGTGTCGCAATTAGGTGCTGACATCAGCTAATGTGCCCCGGTTTCGACAGACCATGGTTAGAGGGTGACCTGAACCGATGTGATGGGTCTAGATGGCCAAGAGGTGGTGGAGACGAGCGAGGGGTATCTCCTCAGCTGGATTGGGGATTGGCAGTATCGAAGAGGGAAGTTTGTAAACAGTTACGTCAGGAGCGAAGGACTGTTGTCTCACAACAGAACTATAAAATCGATCAGTAGCTCAGCTCACAAAATAGGGACTTCCTACTTCGGACTCCAGCATAAATAGACCTCTTCAGAAGTACGAGAGTGATGAGTCCAGACCATTATTCCTTGTAGCTTTGACCCCTGGATCAGCGGACAAAGTACGCATACCTATCTCCAGGATGTTTGTGCTCGGTGTCCCCTTAGATAGGAGAATAGATGACCGCAGCTCCCCTGGAGGATGAATCCGAACGAGATGACCTCATTCCAACACTCTTCGAGCATCCAGGCCAGTCCATTCCCTTCCTAAGATGGCTAGTAGAACAGGTGACCAAACTGGCATGCACTGTCAGCAGAACCAAGTGGGTCGACACCACCATTACACTCGGGATCAGAGAAGGAAAAATGAGGTTAAAAGCCCAAGATATCTCCCGGTAGTATGCATGCCCTACAGTAGTACGGGGCCCCCTCCTCTGGCATGGCTGACCCAGTGCCCCCCTGGTCGCCCGCACGGGGATGGGGTTGTCTGAAACACAGAACAGGGATTAGCCTCAGCAAGGCAGCCCGTATTGGCCAGTTGCAGTCCGGGTCGGGGACTAAAGTCTGACTCTGGTTAAGATGGGCGAGGACTCAGCGCTTAGGCGGGCATGTAAGGTAATGCATGGTAATGATGCAGGTTGCATTCTCACTAGCGGTATCATTAGGCTATCTCAGACCTGCCTGCGAGCGGCTTCAATGCGCGCGCGGTTGCAATGTTTTTCTTCAAGGCTGCCATGCCGTGTCCCCGTCGTGGAGGTCCGGATTGAATCCGGAATCTTGCATGAAACCTCCGATAATCGAAGCCGCCCGTTGCATCCAGGCGTGTGATGAGTGTGATGGGGGAGGTCATCAAGGCAGACAATGGGGCGCAGCGCTAAGTGCTGGTCATGTGAAGGAAGAGCCTTTGCGTTCCGGGTGGTAATTTCTGGGTTAGCAGGCATCGTACTTCGTATACAGTCTTCGATGGATGCAGATGCAGGTAGTAGTTAGTAGACTGCGCAGGAGAGTAAGTTTAGTTAGTTAGTTAACTAACTAGTAACTAACAACTCGTCCCGCTTATCTCATCGCCCATATGACCCGAGACTAAGCATGATGTATCTGATAGTAGTGGGGAGATTCTTCACTACCAACTACTGTCGACAGGTAACTAGTCAAACAATATTCTTCTAGTTCGACTCTACATTGTTCCAGTGGTGCCCTAGTTCCAAATAAATTCTCCGCCCATTATGTCATGGTGGTTCTGCAGAAACTTCGCCACAGTGATGTGGCTCAAAATGACAGCAGCGACGGGTGAGGCGCAGCAATCGGCCATCGCCGACACCGCCGTCAAATTCACGTCTTGTCCACCAACGGGGCTTTTCCTGTTGCCTGCCTGCATCCTGCATATCCTTGCTTGCCTACTCTCTGCTGCTTCATTTCTTTTTTTATACCATTTTGCCGTCTCTCTATTTGCCCCATGAGGCGATCCATGCCTCTTTTCTTGACTCCAGCCTTGCTAAGTATGTATAGGCTAGGGTCCACGATATGTCATAGTGCGGGCCATAACGGTCGTTCCAGCATTCGGCATCCAATCTGATGGGTCGCATGGTCTTTAGTGCACAGCTGACGACGCGCTGGTTGCTTATGCCGCATTCTTGCGCCAGACTGACTACCTTGCCATCTGGTGCCCGGAACCGACTCCAGCCGACGCAGCGATGCGCTCTGCCATTGTTTCCTCTCGTGCCTCCATCCACCCAATCTCTTCCCATGCCTGGTGAGTATACTCCGCTTTGATTGAGTCCACTGCTAGGCGCGTGCTGAGACCGAAGTTTAGCATCGTCTTGCCTCACCCATTGACCCCAGGCACTGCCGCTTTTTGGTTGATGCTCCGGCCCTGGTTGGGTTGATGCCGTCCGAGGAGGGTCGTGCAAGGTCGGCTAGTCTAGGGGATGACATGACCGCATCTATGGATGAACTTTTTTTCATCTCCATTTCAGCCAGTCCCGGTGTCGCCGGGCGCCCACTACCCCTAAATACCAGGCTTGTGCATTGGCTTGCCACAGATCCATGTGCTCGGAGTTTGTGCCTGGTCATGGTAATATCTCCAGATTCCGGTGTCTCCTGGATGACACGAGCACAAGCCAGGGCTCTCAGTCAGCCAACCATGAAGCGGCGGGTGGGCGTGCAGACTAGCGACAAGTTCTACACATTAGGGTAGTTCAGGGCAACGCGAGAAGCGCATGCATGCAGATCGGGGGGAGGTTCGACGGGTGACATCCCCTTTTCGCTCCCTTTGTGCTGCGTGTAATAACGGAGTATCATTTCTTACGAGGAGGCCTCCCGTCCGACTGACTGCCCATTCGAGAAAGTCTGGAGATGACCGTCGACGGAGCCCAGTCCAATGGTAGATCGTAGCAGGGATCTCAGCTGCGGCGTATGAGCCGGACCGTGAGGGTGTCAGCGAATCTGAGGCCAGAAGAGACCTTGTACCAACTTCCAAGGACATTTAGCTCGCCCCACGATGCCCTCAACCCCTCCATGATTCATCAGCTGAGTCTGAGGTCTTTTTCCCTCCGCTACCCGAAGAGGGTTAGGGGATCCGAATAATGTTGTGGATTGGAACAACCAGGCCGAGTTCGTTTCACGTTGCCCTTTCCCCATTGCGTGCTGCGTCCATGTTTCGATCAAGGCTTACTTGGAGGAGAGGAGTTCCTCCTATCACAAGTTTATCTTAGTGTGTGTTCTCTCCAATGTTGCAAGAAACATAGAATAAGAGCGATAAGAAGTAGTGCAGTGTGCCGCACAACAATACGCAGCAGGCAGACAGTATCCGTTGGGTCACGATCTTTGGAACCGAGTCGGTGCGACAGCGTACTGGTGGCCAGCGCTTTGTGGACCCTCCTGAACCTTTGGTTGATAAAGCGTGGGATTTCGGGTAGATTATCTGGTTCCTCTACACTTGATCCGGAAAGACCCTCTGTAGTAGTAGTTATTGTTGTTATGGAGTATGTGGTGCTATTGAAGGCATAATCTTTCTACTATGTACACGGCCGACTCCAAAGCGCTGCTACTGTGAGTCATGCAGCAAGCAAATGTGGGTTCTATTGTGCTTTTGCCGCGGGCAGCGGTCTGTATAACCCGTTGCGCGCAAAACTTGAGCGCGCGGGGGATTTACTCTTTCGAGTGGAAGATGAAGTTATGATCTTACAGTCTTATTTGTCGTGTGCTTTTTCGTGTCTTTGAATTATGGTTAACTTTCTCCTTTTTGTCCCGTGACTTAATACACTTGTTGGTTAATAAGCCACCCATTTTAACAAAATTAGTGAAAAAATGCCCTCTTTGGGTATTTTAAGAGTGAAACTAAACCAGATTCCTTCTCAAAAACCCACTATGAGAGGGCCGAACAACCTACCATAAGCAGCGGTTTACTAGGCAGATGTTCTTCCCAGCTGAAGTTGGGATCCACCAGGTGGCGGAATGGGCGCCGGCTGCTATTGTCTTACTCGATTGGGCATTAGAATTTCCAGGGCAATCGGGTGATCTTCACAAACCAGGATAATGGTGGGGGGTTCAGCGAGGATATTCACCACGTTCTGTTCATTTACGACAGCTTTCAAGATCCATGGAGTCTGAACTAGAGGACGGCATCCAGGATGGCTGCTGAAATAATGCTGGCTGTGAAGGCAACAGAGCAGAATCAGATAAATCGACCCGACCAGTCAATTCTGCCGACCACAGGACCGTTTTCCAGGAGCCGAGAGAGATGCATCCGTGCATGCATACACTCCAGCCCTCCATCCATCCGGAAGTGGATCAGCCATCGGGGCTTAGCCAGCCCTCTTGGTCATTGCAATTGGCATCGCCGTGCCCTGTCTACCTGCACGCCGGACTGAAATGCATACTGTCTTCTGCAGCGCCTCCCACTTTTCCCAGCTGCTGTTGCTGCCGCCCCAGACGGCTCATGCACCAGCATTTTCTCCCTTCACGTCTCTCCCTCTCCAGTGTAACGTCCAACTTCTTTCTAACTCATATGCGTGAACGGGATGTCAGACCTGACGGTCCGTCCGACCGTCAGTCTGGGTCGTGCCTGTGACACACAGACGAGGGTCTAGTCCGACCTCTTATTCCCACCGTCGCACTCCGTAATGTCCAGAGCAGTCCAGACACGATCCCTATTTCCGCAGGGGAAAAAAAAATAGGAGTTTATGACCAAAGAGAACAATCAAATGAAGAAATACACGCAACACAATCTATGAGAAAAAAGTAAAAAAAGGTAAAGGGGTGGAAAAAAGCACCTAGGCCCGGGAGGGATTCCAACAATACTACTACTACTTACTACTACCACTACTTACTTAGCTTTTGTGCTGTCTCTCCCACGCGATTCGACCGCCGAGGAACCATCCGAAACCCTCCAAATCAGGACGCAATGCCGCCAGGGAACGACGCGCGCCTTGGTCGAACTTTCCTGTGATGCCGCCAAAGAGTTGTTTGGAACAATTCCTCGTCTTTTTGTTCCCGGTATTGTTTTGGAGGGGTAGATAAACTAAAGGGGGTGTGGAAAGAAAGAGGATAATACTAACTAGACTAAGCGCCTGTTGACCCAAACTTATCCCGTATTTAGGTACTATGTGTGTGAGAGTTGAGTGAGAGTGTGTCCACCCTACACAGATTTTGTAGTGGTATCTACTTAGTGTGCCATACACACTAAGTCACTAACATATGCTACCTACCCGCCCCGATCGTAGTGTGGTCTAAGTTGGCCCCATTTCTTGACTCAGGTGTGGGAAAACGAGACGGTAGTTAGGGAATCTCTTAGCAATGACATCTTTGGATCGACCACGCCAGGACTGGTCGGGTGTCTCCACCACCGACGACACTTCTGGACGCCTGCATCCTGCTAAACCCAGCCTGAAGGGGAACAGACCTGACGCCGCCGCCGCCGCCGCTGCTGCTGCTGCTGCTGCTGCTGCTGCGCACCTGAGATCGGACGGTCAATCCGGACGGTGGCCAATTTATTTTTTCTTCTCGTACCATACGATCGGGATTCCGCGTCTGCATGAGTGAAAAAAAAAAAAAAAAAAATCCTCACCTCTGAAAGAAAAGGAGGAAAATTGAGAGTACTAAATGGAAAAAGAAAAAAAACCTCGGAAAACAAGTAAAAAAATGAGGGGAAAAGATTAAGAAAAGTAATTAAAATTCTTAAAATGGGAAATCGAAAGTCGCCGGTCTGCGCTATTGGAGACTTTTTTCTAACTCCAAGGCAAAAGCTGGATGGGTAAATGTAGTGCGCGCGTGTTGTGTGTGTGTGTGTGCGTGGGTGTGTGTATGGATATGGGTATGTATCAGTGTGTATGCTGCTGGATTTTACAGTTGGGATTTGGATCTGAATATTTTTATTTTATTTTTTATTATTTATGAAGTGACTCAATAATGTTATATTGATCATCTTTGATCTCTCTCTCTCTCTTATTCTCTTAATATTTATCCATCGACATCTCTTTTCTTTTTGGTCTGACAGTCGGAGCCAACGTTTCTTGACAGTGGTTGACAGATCTGCCCTTCTCACCTCATTTGGCGGCTGTATAAATCCGCTCGGAACCACAGTTTTGGCTGCTGCTACTGCTGCTCCTCCCCCCCTCTTCATACAGTACTGCCTCTTACTGTATCCATCCTGCATCCCATCCGATCCATCCATCAACTCGCTCAGTTGACTTTTTACCTCCATTTAGGATTGACTGATCCATCCCGAAAAGTTGGTCGGGACTCTTGCTTTCCCTTTTGGGTCACCCTCGCCCCTCTCCTCTTTTTCCCTCTCTTCTCCTCTTTCTTCTGCTTCCTGCTGCTTTTCCTTCTCTTTGTCTTTCTCATTCCCCCGTTTGTCCCCGCCTCGCTCTTTTTCTTTTCTTCCTCCCCTCTTCTGCCGCTCGTCTGGTCCTATTTCTTTTTGGTTGATTTTATTTTAAACCCTTTTGCTTATCATCGTTGCCATTCCTTTCTTTTACCCTCACTTCTATTGCGCATTCGCCCACACACACAAACAGTAATTTTGACCTATACAACCCTCTTCCTCCACCACTACTACTACTACTACTCAAGTAGTACTGCTTTCCACTCCACTCCCGGTTCCTGACGGTGGGGATTTTAATATATACTACCAACCTCCTCCCTCCAGGCAGGTAACCTTCCTTCCGACTACTTTCTAGTCTTTCCGCGCTGCCCTTACTCGCCTCGGTCCTCGTGACTTCAAGTTACTTTGCCGTCACGCTTCGGACTGTATCGGGATAAATCACTCGCTGTGGGCGAATGTCGCCTCTATGCTCTTTTTCCACCCTATCTTATCTCTCTCTTTACTGATCCGCCCTTCATTTTTGCGTTCGTTTGTCGTCAAGTATAGCACCATCTTTGCTCGTCACTGCGCAGTCTAATTATGCCAACCGTCTTGCTGCCCTCGTCGGCAGCCGCATTCGCTCCACGCTCGTCGCCGAACGTGGTGTTGAATGCGCGCATCGAGCCTTGGCTGACTGCCACCCTCAAAAGAGTGAACCGAGTCAAGCGACCCCTTAACAATGTTACCCAGCATACCAGATGCCTTACGGAGACGCTGTCATCCCCCGACGCCATCTGGACGCTGTGCTCTCTGATGTTTCCCAAGGCCCCCGATGCGGAACTCAAGAAGGACGACAACCCCCTCGTTGAGGCCATGTGCAACTACCAGATGGTACACATCGAAGCGTACGTCGTGCATGTCGACATGGTTTCGCAGAACGAAGTCGCCTTTAAATTGACTCCGGAGACCATCGAGGCTCTCGTCGACTACCACAAGGACGTCTATTCCGTCGACACGGCTGCCAGCACTTGGGACTGGTCCGACAAGGATAGTCAGCTGAAGAAGCTGCAGGAGGAATTTGTGCAAGCCGTCAACAAGTTTGTCTATCGCACAGAGGCGCTCGCGCTGGAAGGGCTCGAGGAGGATGGCGCAGGCGAACTGCTTGGCGGCCGCAGCGATGACGCGAAGGCGGCGATAACCAGTCTCTTCGTGCCTCTACTTCCCCCGCCGCCACGTGTAGTTGACGTCCTCCGGTCGACCCCTATCCTTCCCAGCTCGACCGTACCGGGAACCTGGTGGCAGGAGCCGATGCCACAAACACTGCCTTTGGAGTCGTGGAAGGTCCTCCCATCCAGCCCCGCAACAACCAGCACTGGCGAGCCGAACGCTGGTATGTGGACAACCATGAACGGCATGGGAGAAGCGCAGCTTACTTCCCCAACGTTCAGCCAGCCGTATACCACTTCACCATACAATGCGACACAATACTACAGCACAGCGGCGACGTCGGCGACCATCGCGGCGCTCCCGCTGCCGAGCATGCTAGTGCAACCGTGCAGCACAGTGGCTGGTCTGGCGGGGTTTGGATGGGAGAACCGGTACCAAGATTTTACACTGCCATACGGGACAACAATGTAACAGGTCCATGGAACCAGACACTTGATGTTAACGGTATCCCTGACTTCGCGTGTCTTTGGAATAGATCCGAGGATCCGTACCGACAATATGACTACGGCTCCATGCCACCGGGGCCCGCGTATACACAGTCACGAGAACGACCGGGGTCCTATCCCCACGGATACCCTCATCAGACTAATTGGCATCAATGACGGCGTTACCCTTGATGATTTGCGAAACACATGATACACCCTCACGTCTTTGCATTGGTTTTCTTATCTCTTTTCACATTCGATGACACCAGTTTCCACCACAAGTGCCCTATTCTTTTCGTTTGCCTTTGACAGCGCTAGCGTTTTGTTTGATTTTCGTTCTATAGCATCAAGAGCGGCGGGTCGGCTGTTTGTTCTGATTTTTGGGGATGCCCCCTTTCAATCCCGCATTATATGTCATGAAGACCTGGTTAGCCTCGCGGCTTGGGATATGATTTGGATGAGGAATGTTCGCCCTTCGTTTCGTGTCGCGGAGTCAGGAGGGCTGCTGTGCTGTGCATGGTGGTCGTCCTGACGACACCGTCTGCTGGGTACAGGTACCCATTGATGGCAGAGGTGGCTAGCGACTGCTGTGGCTATCTACATCTGGGATGTGATGGCTGCAGAGTTTGGCAGCACAGATGATGTGGCGCAGGTAGCTCTGGGGCGTCTCTGATCTGAAGATCCGCCTGTGGCGGACCTGATCGGGTTTGCAACTAATGGTCTGTGACCGTCAGTGGAACCTTACGAGACTAACCTGGGCTCACTGTCCCGTCAATGTGGCTGTCCGGTAGGTTCATCTCCTATCATCCAGGCTGGGTTTGAAATTACCTGGATACGCCCGTTCACATCCTCACTGGGTGAGACTGTGAGCGGGAATCGGATGCTGGAGGGCTGCGCCCAGTCTTCTTTGGATCTTCGTTCTTTATTCTAAGCATTACTACGATCTTTTTCAATTATTTGGCACGATGTACTTAGTCTGACATAATGGACCACAAGACGATCGGCACTGCGCAGTAGACAGGATGTAGAGTAAGGCGTAGAATAGTAAGTACTGATCTCATGGCTGCCAGGGGAGAGCGAACCTTGCTGGATTCATCGGCAAGAACGGTCTTTTTGTGCCCCGGACCGGTGACGTCAGACCCCGAACTCCGCAACACCACCAGAACCGGAGGTACCATTCATTATCTTCCTCTGACGATGAACTTCTGCTCTTGATCGGATTAGCTTCTAATGGTATTCTAATGCTTTATTTTATTCTATTATATGTCTGCCTGGTTGCCTAGATCCTCCTGTGACATACCCCCTCTTACTTCCCCCACCTATCGCCCGGAGATTTCCTTAATCTACAACCATCATCACTCCAACATCTCCGACGACTTACACAGGACCTCATCACTTCTACAGGGATCTATCTCACGCCCAGAGAATAACCCCAGAACCAAGACAACAAAGAAGACCTCACATGACCAATAACACCACACCACATACACAACAATTGAACCGAACCGACCCGAACCACAAGCATACCCAACTAAGTCGATAAAAAGAAAGAAAGAAAGAAAGAAAATGCCCCTCCCCACCCTCCAAGAATCCCTGGAATCTCTCTCCCCCACCACCTGGACCGACGTGCCCAGCACCGACCCCGCCGCCCTACGAGCCTACATCACCGACCTCCGCACAAAAGCGCACCTGATTGTCGATTCCGTCCCGTTGCCTTCAGACGACGATATCCAGACGCAGCAGGCCGCGTACGGCGGACACCCAGCGAGCAAGGTAGTCAAGGCGAGCGACGCAGTTCCTGTGCATGATTTAGTGGATCATGATAACGGGAATAATGGCGATAGCAGTAGCGGTAGTGGGAGCGGGAGTGGGAAAAGCAACAACAATGGAAAAGGAGGCGGGGTGCAAGCATTACGGAAACAATGGAGCAAGCCGATACGAGTGACCAATTCTCGGGATAACCCGTTGCAGATCCCGATATATAAGTTGCAGGGGGGAGACGGGAAGGGACACTGGTTTGGGAGGCGGAGCGTGCATGAGGGGTTGGGGTTTGAGCGGTGGAGGGAGAAGTTGTCGGGTGAGATGGGGGAGACGTTGAGGAGGAATCAGGAACGGGTGAGGAAGGGGAAGATGCCGGATCAGGCGGTTAGGGGGATTGGGGCGGAGAGGTTGGTTGAGGGGGTGGAGGTTATGGGTGGTGGTGATGATGGTGGTGGTGGGGAGGGGGTGATTGGTAGGGTGCAGGTGTATCATGTTTCGGCGCAGTTTCCGAAGCCTACGACTGCGAGGGATTTTGTGAGTTTGATTGTGAGTTGGGATGAGAGTGAGGGTGAGGAGAGACGGAAGAAGGAAGGGAAGGGGAGGGAGTGGATGATGGTGTCGAGACCGTGCGAGCATGATGAGGTGCCTCCGGTGCCGGGGTATATTCGGGGTATGTATGAGAGTGTGGAGTTTATTCGGGAGATACCTGTGGAGGGTAAGCCTGAGGGGGCAATGAATCCGGTGGAGTGGGTGATGGTGACGAGGAGTGATCCGGGGGGTAATATCCCCAGATGGATGGTGGAGAAGGGTACCCCCAAGAGCATCTGTACGGATGCTGTCAAGTTCTTGAATTGGGCTTGTCGGGACGGGGAGAGGAAGAGGAGGTCCACGGACAGATCGGTGGGCAGTCATAGTCAGTATGATGAGGAGGATGCGTCCAGCAGTGAGGACAGTGACGACGAGTCATACACTGAAGTCGAGCATCACGGGTTGATTGCCAGCTTCGCATACCTGGTGAACGCAGGTCTGGAGCGGTATGCGCCGCAGACAGTGCTGGACTACCTACCGCAGCACTCGCGCCAGGTCTCTGCCCAGAGTGTCCCTGCCAGCAGCACGGAGCCAGATGTCGAGGGGGCCAAGGAGCACGAAGACGATGCAGTATCGCACGACAAAGCGTCGATAGCACCATCAGCAAACTCGGGCGTCGAATCATCACTGGAAGCAGGCCCCGACGTATCCGCGCTGGAGCTAATGGCCAAGAACAAAAAGGGCAAGCTGACCTCGCACGAGAAGCAGCTAGCGAAGCTAGCAGAACGCAAACGCAACGTCGAAGCACAGCTGGATAAAGTACGAGCCGACATCCAAGCCCTCCGCGTGACCTCACCAGTGGAAGGCTCCAAGCGCGACAAGACATCCACGACCGCTCTAGCAGCAGCAAACGAGCAAGCCAGCAGCGAACCGCCTAGCAGCAGCCCAGCCAGCAGCGTGCACAAGGGCCAAACGTCAAGCAAGAGCCGTCATGCCGAAAACCCCGATCACGAGACGGCGAAGATGCACAAGGTTGCGTCGGGGCTGTTCCACGACGAATCCAAGCTGCTGAAACAGCTCGGCAAGATCGAGAAAGACCAGGTCAAGGAAGCATCGAAGATCGAGGCGCGGCAGCAGAAGCACGCAGACAAGCAGGAGAAGCATCGCTCGCGGGCAGAGACAGAGGCGTTGCGCCGCGAGGTGGAGGTGCTCAAGAAGGAGGTGCATCGACTGCGCGGAGAGCGCAAGCAATGGCTGGATTTGATCGGGTCGTTGCAGAATGAGAATACGCGGTTGGCAGCGGCGCAGGGGGGTGGAAATGACAAGGGAGAGATTAGCATGTAATGTAATTGTATATTAGCGTAGCGTTGTACATGATAATCGATTGATTTTAACCCATCTTATCCATATCCTATCCTTAGTATGTAATGTAATGCATGAAACCTCCACGCCAACGCCATTAACCCACCATTGAACTCCAGTAGTATGCAAATACCTGCATGACACAAACGCGACAGCACATATCCCACCATCCATCATCTATCTCCTTCCACAATACTCCTCCATCAAACACTCAACTCCTTCATCTCACCCAGCCCTCAAACCCCACCACCAATCACTCAAAGAGCAGTAGTACTGAATTATTCCTGCGTCTATATCCCACCCATTAGCCCAATTCATTCATATCCCCAAACCCCAAACAAGAAAGAAGAGAAAAGAATGAACCAACCTCCGGCGGATTCCCCGCCCCTCTAACCATCTTCTCAATCATCGCCGCGCGAACCTTCTCCTTCGACTCGCCCATTCCCAACGCCATATATGACAACATAGGCGGATGACCAATATACGAGGCGTAGCTATCCCGGACAATGTTCGATACCCATTCGTATTTCGTCGTGTCCGCGTGGCCAGTACCGATGTACCGCGCTTGCATCGCCTCGAGGTTTTGGATCGTGCGGAGTTTGTCGGCCATTTTGGATGTCTTCTCCTTCCTTTGTTTCGGTTGGTTGTGTGGGTGGATGGAATTGGGGGTGTGAGTGGTTGTGGTGGTAGTTGGAATGCGGTGGATAAGTTAGATGTTGGAGATGAGATGGATAAGAATAATTGATGATGATAAGTCACGTGATATGCACCCACTTGATATAAAAGTGGGACATGCACAAACTACAGCATGCGTAACTAGACGATATATATATATATATATATATATAGCATAATGGAACAACGACAAAAGCAGGGAGATGCTGGAGATGGTATGCTTGCAGAGAGAATTGCAAGAGTTGTGCATGCGCACTTTGATGCTTTGCCCGCACGCAGTAAACCTATTCTGAGGGATGATGGGACGAGGGAGTGGATTCCTATGTGTGGGGTTGTGGTTGTGAGGGGTTTGTATATCCTTTCTTTATCTTTAAGCAAGCTATTCCTTGATAGGAAGAACTATGGTTGGGTGTAGTATGCTTACAATATGTTGGTGTAGATAATGATGATGATGATACAGCGAAGGAAGAATTGACCTGTGTGGCTGTTACGTATGTTCACCTACCACTATCTACCCTATATAACCACACCACAAACACATTATTTATAAGTAAATACTAAACCATCCAGCTCCGGCGCAAAATGCCTCCCTACCACACAACTCGCATCCAGCACCGGCCTCGTCCTCCACGACTGGCACGCCGAGATCCTGGCCCTCCGCGCATTCAATTACTGGCTGTTGAGTGAGATTCGCGCATTAATAGACCATGAACATGATCATCAGCAATCTTTATTTACACCCAAACCCTCCCCCTTCATCCGCCGGCGCCAACAATCCCCAAACAAGAACACCAACAACAACGAACCCCCCTTCGAACTCCACCCCTCCCTAAAAATCTACCTCTACTGCACGACCGCCCCCTGCGGCGACGCAAGCATGGAGCTCACCATGGCAGCGCAAGACGACCCGACACCATGGGAAATCACCCCCTCAGAGGAAGAAGAAGCAGGCCTCCTCTCCGGCCGCGCCAACTTCTCCCAGTTAGGCATTGTCCGTCGCAAGCCCGCGCGCGCAGACGCCCCATCCACGAAAAGCAAGTCCTGCTCGGACAAACTTGCCTTGCGACAGGTATCGTCTCTCTTGTCGAGGGGGATGAGCCTCCTGGTGGCTATTACGGAGAATGCGTATCTGGCCGGGGTGGTGATGCCCCGTGAGGAGGTGAGTGAGACGGGGTGTGTGAGGGCTTGGGGGGTGGAGGGAAGGATGGGGCCTTTGGTATCGAGGTTCGAAGGAGGGGGTGGGTATGGGTATCATCCGTTCCGGGTTCTCTCTGTTGATATGGGAGTTGTGGAGGAGTTGTGGGCGTTTGGGAAACCGAAGAGTAAGGAGGCTGGGATGAAGTGTAAGCCCGGGAATATCTCGGCTGTTTGGGCGGCTGCGCCGGTGCTTGGGGGAGGTGGTAGTGGTAGTGGTGGTGGGGTGGATCGCTATGCGGCGGAGAATGGGGCCAAGCAGTTGCCGAAATTGAGTGGTTCGTGGACCGGGTTGTATGAGACGATCATTGGGGGGATGAAGCAGGGGTATAAGGCGTCGGTGCCGGTGGGGAAGGGCGCGTCGGCGCTGTCGAGAGCGAAGATGTGGGGGGCGTTGAGGGGGGTATTGGGTGGTGATGATGGTGGTGGTGGTGATGGTACTGAGGGGGAAGGAGGGCATGTGGTTAGGGCATCGTCGTATAAGGAGTTCAAGAGGGCTGCGCTTGAGACGTCTGTGGGAAAGGCACGGGAATGTGCTATGCTGGAGGCGAAGAAGGTGCTGGTGCCGTGGGTGCCGAATGATGGGGATGATGAATGGGGATTGGAAGTGTTGGTGGATCAGAAAGGGAAGAAGAGAAAGCGTGATGACATTAAAAAGAATAAAGATGTCCAGTCTAACTAATACATGTCATGTCCGATATATGAGTCGTTCAGACGGATAGTATCATACATTAAGAACTTTTGTTCGGTCTATACCCATAATTTCAGTAAATGCCAGGAATGATCCGGCTCCGGACCAACGACGTATACCGGTCCCAGTCGGCTCCGTACTTGCGCTTGCACTTCTCCTCGTCGCGCTGCTCGCGGTGGATCAGCAGAGTGCCAAAGTACACCAGGAAGAAGTACGTGAAGATCATTCCCCAGCCCCGGCTCTCGGGGGTCTGCACTGCCTGCTTCTGCAGGTCCCCGGTGGCCGGGTTGATGCTCTGGATAATGGCGTAGCCGGCAATGCCCGTAGGCAGACAGTACGACCACGACATGACCCAGTCGCCCAGGTAGTTTATGTGGCGGGCGCTTCCCCACCAGCCGGACGTGATCAGCTTGGATCCGCTGGCCGTCTGGATGTACTTGAGGTGCTTGACGCGGGGGTCGTTCGGGTTGGTGCGGAAACGGTTCTTCTGGTTGTTGGCGCCCCGAAAGATCGAGTAGCCCACGGCAGTGACGGCCAGAACGAGCAGGATGCCATTGAAGCCCAGCTCGTATGGGAAGACGGCCAGGTAGCGGGTCTGGAAGTTGTAGATAAACGGCACCCAGACGAGGTCGCCAAATGAGAGCATGAACCCGAAGCCGTCCATGATGATGTCCATTGTAGTCAGCAGAGCAGGCTCCATGTACAGGCCGTCCAAGACATAGAATGCCTGGAAAGCAGTCGAGATGACGATCGAGTCCGTGATGTAGCCGTAGGTGCGGTACTGGCGAGCAATGTTCGACAGGTTCAGGATAATCCACCCCAGCAAGCCGGGACGCATTTCGAGCCAGGACTTGATATCGATCGTGCGCGAAGCTTCGCTGACAAATGGAATCGGCAGGCGCACCCGGGGGTTCAGCTCTCTGCCAATGAAGAAATCATACAACGCGTTGCCAGTGTGACCACCCGGAGCTAGCTGACGGAGCTCGGGGTTGGGCTGCCCGGGGGCTGGAACGGTGAAGCTCTTCGCATAGACGAAGATGGCGATGACAGTGCAAATCACCAGGTTGGCGGTGATAACCTGCAGGTAGTTGTCCCAGAGGAAGGTCCAGACAGCAAAGTCCGCACCATAGACGTAGGTGCCCGTCGCACAGCCGGAGAGGATCAGGACGGCCGACAGAAAAGCTGCAGGACGTTAGAGAGGCAGATACGAGTCAATTGAAGAAACCAACCGTTGAACTTGTAGGGCAATCTTCCTCCACATGCCAATTCGGTGCCCTCGACCTCCTGGCCAGGCAGGAACACGTACATGGCCAAGCTAAGCAGATAGTAGCCCAGCACCCAAAATGTCACGCTGGTGTCATAGAAATCTGCAAACCCTCCCTTGGGCCAGCCAACCTCCGCCTTCAATTGGTCCAGCGTCACGGTAGACGGGTGTAGTAGCGAAGGAGCTGGGCAGCCGGAGACATCGTTACACAGGAAGGTGAAGCTGTAGACCAGCACGGGCAGACCAAACACGATCCCAAACGCACCGAGACTGTGGGGTCAGTATCCAATTGTCAATTGTAACCGAGCATTGAGCACCTACGGTCCTCCAAACTCGTAGCCACGTTTCTCTGGAACGGGCTGAACCCGGACCTTGGTCTTGGAGTCCTTCTTGGGAGCCATGACGGGCTATACTGGATCTTGATATGGGGATTAAGGAGAAACTGGAGAAGAAGCCGCGGGACTTTTGGCAGAAGCGGAGCCGACGATGCGGGCGGTGAGAAGCTCTCGATGGAATCTCCGCAAGAAATGCGACGTTTCATCTCCGCGCATTACGACGCCTGCTTCATCTGCTGCTCCTCCTTGTCCTTCCCCTCTTTTCTCTCTCTTCTTCTTCTTTTCTTTACCTCTGGTCTCTCCTTTGCTTTGCTCTCCTTCGATCTAACCAGACTTACCGATTAGTCACTACTCCCAGCTTCCTGATCCATCCTCGTTCCCTTCCTCGGCTTAGAACCGTTATCGCCGACCGTCCCGGCTGCCTCCACCGGAGATCATCTTCCCACCATGAAGCCACCCACATCCTCCTTGCTGAGGTTCCTCTTCCTCCTGGCTGCTCCGCTTGTCTCTCAGGCTGCCTCCGATTCTTCTGCTCCGAAGGATGGTCTCTCTCCCTGCGTCGTTCGCTCTCCCACGACCGGCTTATTCTACGATCTCAACACCATCTCCTTATCTCCGCCCCCAGTAGACGGGGACAAACCTCGCAAAGGCGCCCGAGACGAGAGTTGGCACGCCAGAGGACACGACTACAATGCCAACTTTACGTTAAATATCTGTGCGCCCGTGGTCGAAGATATCAAGGATGTGGTGGGAGTGGACCGCGCAAGGTGGAGGAATGTTAGCGCCTACTACGAGAGGGAGGGTAAAGTCTACTCCATTGGGTACGGTGACACTATTCTTCTATACCACTTGCCATAATCACTAACTGGCGCGGTGCAGTCAACAAGCATCAGACCCCTTCTTCCGCGGCCGAAAGCTGGTCATGAACTATACCAATGGCTCCCCTTGTGCTGGCGACTACATCGGAAATGCCGCCCGCACCAAATCCACTATCATGTCGTTCCTTTGTGAGCGCGACACCCCTGCCTCCCAGGCGACGGTCTCCTTTGTCGGCACCATGGACCAGTGCACATATTTCTTCGAAGTTCGAAGCTCTGCCGCTTGTGGCGCGACCGCGCCCACACCGGATAACCCGGGTCTTTCGCCAGCCGGCGTTTTCGGCGTAATGTAAGTGGAAAACAACCTTAGATAGGATCAATAACTGATAAGCATAGTGCCTTGATTGCCGTGGCAGCGTACCTGGTCGGTGGTTGCGCATACCAACGAACTGTCATGCACCAGCGCGGCTGGAGACAGTGCCCGAACTACAGTCTTTGGGCGGGAATGCTCGACTTCATCAAAGTAAGTATACTGGCGTTAATCCCGTTCCGACGGTCCCGGCGGCAAGAGCAGGCCCCGTACAAGGAGTTTGGCAATGCAAGGTTACCTGTTTCGAGGATGGATTGAATCTGCTTTGGCTGGTCTGGAGCTCAATTACATCAGGCGTGCTTGCCATTCGTTCTTTCCTTACGCATGTCTTTTTTGCTTGTCTTTGAAGTCACTCGTTTGGACATCTAGCCCTTTGGACATCTAGCCGTGTCGAACGCGGTATATACAGTCATTGCTCGAGCAGGCCTAGCAAAGACGTCCTATAGAGCAAGCTGGAAGCATGTCAATAGCTCGATTGATTGATTCTAGAAATCTTTCCTTGCTTCACACATCTATCTGAACACACACAACTGTCTCATTTGCTATTCTTCAAGAATACATTCATTATACAGAACCCTAAGCTAACCTCATCTCCTCTCTCTTCCCCTCTAAAACAGGACATGATCATCATCCTCTTCTCCTCCCTAGCCCGCCTCCTCCGCTTAAAACGCTCCCCAACTCTCGGCCACGGTCACACCCGCGGTAACAGCGTCAACCACCGCGGCAGTTTCGGCCGTCGAGGCAGTGACGTGGATGCCGAAAATCGATTGATAGATCAGTTAGATGAGGAGTGGGAGGATTAAAAATCTGTTTGTTAACTAGCTTCGTTTGTTTCTGGGATTTATAGCGCAACTATATGATATATCGCTGCCTGCATTGGTTGTATTTTGTTGTACAACGTCCGATTATCATATGGATGTTGCAAGCATGCGTGGATTGATTGATTGATTGGTTGATCAAGGTGGCTCCTGTTTTATAGCGTGTTTGAGTATTACTACTACGAAGAGCATGAGAATATGTTTTGCATTTTACCACATCCGCGGCCAGTCTAGTGCCACAACTATATATTTTACAGTCAATTATGTGTAGTAGCACCCTGCAAACAACTGCCAGGGATGTTAAACCTAATGTCCTCGATTAAACTAATATCTGCACATCCTTGATGAAGAAACATGAAAATTTACCACACCCACAAAAACAAACAACACACTACCACCCAGATAGCATAAGTCCGACATCATAAGTCAATAACTTGAGAGGAATACAGAAAACCAAAAAATGCATTGTCGGGGAGTCGAACCCCGGCCACTCGCTTGGAAGGCGAGTATCATAACCGTTAGACTAACAATGCTTGCTAGTTGAAATGTAGTCCCTACAACAGCTCACAATCCGCAAAGCACTAATGTCAGATTTAGGGTATGGCGCTTGAGCAAATGAACAGACTGTATCCATTTCAAATGACGAGTTCATTTAAAATACATAGGTATGAAACATGATGAGAATGGCTAGTCTGGACAGAGAAACTTGCATAGCTCAGTAGGTTTATTATCATAGTAGCCAACGCCTGGTTGTGCGTAATCCAATGCCAGACAGACAGTATGAATGAAATGAAGTAATGTTGCAATAATGGATGACTAAATACTGTTATCGTTTCTTCTCTTTTCATCAAACATGACTGTATCTCTATCTTTGAAAAAAGGTGAAATCAAACTAAATTATACATAATTCCGACGCACGCAGTTTAAACTTCAAACCACCCCACCCCATGACATCACTGGTGGTGCATGGTGGGGTATAAATTAAATAACTGTCAATTTTCTCCAAGGAAGCATCATTGGTCTAGTGGTAGAATTCATCGTTGCCATCGATGAGGCCCGTGTTCGATTCACGGATGATGCATTCTTCCAAGCATTGTTAGTCTAACGGTTATGATACTCGCCTTCCAAGCGAGTGGCCGGGGTTCGACTCCCCGACAATGCATTTTTTGCTTGTTTCCCTCTATGTATGTATCTGTTTCGTTCTTTTGATTTACTATTCTTGTTCTTTTTGCTCAGATTGCGGGGTTGGTGGGCTATATTGAATCTGTTCGTGGTCGATTCCTAACCGTGTCCAACCAATATATGGCATACCCTAATTAAGATACACCGAATTATGGACGAAAGTGCATAAAAATTCTTGATTGAGGTATATTTATTCCTGTCGAATATATAACCATAATATAAATACACAGCATCAAGGCATGACATGACCAGACCAGACTAAAAGCGTCGCGTCGCATATACCACATAGCCAAGGTCGTTCATAAACTCCAAAATCTTTTCCAAAACCAGACCGTCCGCCCCAAGCCCGAATGTACCCCGCTGAAAACTAAAAGCCAAATCAAATGATATTTCCTCCTATCCGCAGACACAAAAATACAATTGCTCATGCCTGTGAACCCCGGTTCACCCCCAGTCCTAAGTCAAATGCTCCCATTGGTATGTTTCCGAACCCAGACAGATCGGGACCTCCCACGACAGGGTTACCAGAACCGGCGGCTTGTGAATTTGGATCAAGGCCTCCACCGGCGCCCACGGGGTCGAGGTTGAAGGGCAAGAACCAGGCGCTGGGTTGATAGTATTCACCTGCACCGGACGGGGCATTAGGGTCTAGTTGACCGGTAAAGATGGTGGAGGGATCTTGATTAGGGGGAGCTTCGGGGCGGTTCACGGGAGCGGGCATCGCCGGATTCTCGGGTGGGACGAGGGATGCAGACGGGTCAAAGTCGCCAAAGGAGCCGTAGACAAATTGTCGGTCTAGCTGCGGGAGTTGGTCTGCTGCGGGCATGGAAAAGTCGAAGCCGGGTTGTGCGAAGGGCTGTTGTCCCGCGCGGTTCTGGTTGAACACGGCCGGCTGAGGGAATCCTGTACCGGTTGTTCCCAGCATGCCCGGGGCGCCGTCCATGGCGATTTCATTCATTGACTGTGGGGGAGTTGGTCCATCGAACCCGCTCACGCTGTCAGCTTTGCTGCTCTTCTTCGAATGCCTACGCGGGGCGCTCGGCTGTGGTGTTGGAGAAAGACTGGCAAAGAACTCCTCGACGCTCTGAAGGTCTGGCCGTTGACTCATGACACCATCGTCGCTCTTTGCCTTTTGAGGATCGGGTTCCTCCCAGTGTGACCTCGACATCCCATGGGGATACTTGTCGAACCAGTCGCCATACTGGAACATAGGCGCAATCTGCCCACCATTCTGCGTAACCACCGTGCCTTTGATGGCCGCATCCGCAAATTGACGGTATCGGTCCTTGGCACTTTCTACCATGTAATGAAACATTCCCCAATACTTCTTCATCTTATTGAGGTAACGGTATGTATGGCGCAGATTTTCCTTGGAACGCGCCTCCAACTGTGCGTTTTTCGAGAATATGCCCCATATATGGACAGTGCTGGCCGAATAAGCGCAGTATCCAGCGAACGGGACAGTGAGAGGATAAGCTGATGCACGGTCGATGAGGATAGAAATATGATGAGCAGCTTCCACTGCTGCTCGGCCGGCATTGCTCAGGAATGCCTTAGGCATGTCACGGGGAGGTCGTCCTCCCGGTGATAGCGGTATGGCGAATTGATTCAAGAAGAGCATGTTCTGGTGGATGATAATGTGCAGAAAGATGAACTGGTTGGCGATTCGGTCGGCTGCATGGATCTGAAGGTTTTCGTAAGTGAACAAGAGATGGCTAGGGAGAGACGCGGAAAACTCCTCAATCTGCCGCTTGAGGCGCATGTACCCAGACTCCTGCGACCACAGTGGCTGCGTGTCTTTTCTTTTTCCTCCGAGGTTGAGATAATCAACGATGCGGCCCCATATGACAACTGCACGGATGATATAGGCTGATACACCCATGTTCTCCTTCGCATTAGATAGCTGACCAACATCGTCTGGAACTGGATTGAGAACATTGCCGTCCAAGTCTTCCGTGGGCCCCGGGATCTCCATCTGGAAATGTGACTCCTTTATAGGGAGCTGTATTTGCAGAAACTTCTCGTTTCCTATCGGCGGGCGCTGACTCCCGGATGAATTATAACGGTCCATCAAGAAACACGCCCACATGGTTCGCCTTCGTATCTCCCGATCCGTAAAACTAAGCTGCGATCCGTTGCCATTGTTCTGGACTAGTAGAGGGTCATGGTCGAGCTCCCTATGTAATTGCAGGGCATACGCCATGCGCAGTGCTTGGCCACCGAATGACCAACTCCGCCCGCCATGACATGTACCGAACTCGTGAAGACCCAGAAGCAAAAACACGGTCAGAATAGTGATATTAGGCTCGTCATGGCGACTCAGGGCTATAGCAGCTGCTGGATTGGCCCAGTTCTCGCCACGCAGGAAAGGAGGTTCGGAATTGATCTGTGGATGTGTTGAAAATCGAGCGGAAACGGCGCAAACGGCAAGTATAAGAACTGGAGGAACGGTTCTTGCCTTGAGTCTTCGGATGAAGCTTGGCTTGTGAAGAAGGAGGTAGGACTGCCCGTAGACGCAATCGAAGAACACCTCTGCCAGGTGCTCCTGGATCTCCAATGACGGTAAAAACTCGGCACCTGCACTCATTAAGCCCGACGCATCACCTGGTTTACTCTCACGGCGCATCGGAAAGGTATCCTGCGGACCATTGCGGCTCTCCCGAGCCCACTCATCCATTTCCGCAGCAAAAGCCTCTTCCGCTGTCCGCTTCTTCTGCGCCTTGTTGGTCTGTCCGGGTTGAGGCGGTCGAACCACCGACCGGCCAATGGCACCCATATCCCTAGTCTCTTCCTTGGGGATGGTTTTGATGACCCGGTCCTCCATCCTCTTCAGGCGCTTATCCAGCATCGCCATGTAGTCCGTCCGGGGCGCCGCCTTTCTGGTAGTGACCTTGTAAACACATGGTATTCGAGAGCGCGAGCAGTGCTTGCACGCAGGCTTTTCGCCGGAGCATCGGATCTTTTTTCTTCGACAAGCAATGCAGGCGAGGGGTAGGCGCTTTCGCTCCTTGCCGGCTTTCGTCTTCATTTCGCTCCACGCTGGTTTTTCGCCTCCCTGTTGGTCGTGATTGTGTGCGGGGTCGCCTCTGCCGTCGTCCCGGTGGGCATCAATCCCCGACTCGTGCGAGGTACCCGGATCACCGGCAGTAACGGCGCTGCCGGGATCACGCGAGCTGGCCCGGCTATGGTTGTCGAGGTCTTCGGGAAGGACGATATCGTCGTGGCCCAGGGTCAGGCCGGAGGCCAAGGGGGACTCGTCGGACTCCGGAGGGATCATGATGGGCGCAGGTACCCCAAGAACAAGACCCGGATCATCGTTCGGTAGGAAGGGGGTGGATGCGGAGGGAGTTGGCCACAGGGTCTGGTCCTGCTGGTGCTCTGGGGAGAAAGACGGGACGAAACCGCGGGATGAGGCGGTGGTCGAAATCGGTGGGTATGGGGAAGGCTGGCTAGGACGGGCGCTGACTGGAGGCTTGGCACCTCTCGCCGTCGTCATCCTGGGGGAATTTGCCCTTTAGTAATTTAAATGTTCGTCGTCCCCGGATATTGTTTTCACTATAGTAAATATTTGTAGAAAATGTCAGGTTGGGGATTCTGGGTGATGATAATGATGCCCATAAAGAAAAAGGTACAGCGCCAATAAGGAACCCAGTCTCCAGAACATGGGTGTTGTAAAGAAGAAGGTTCAATAGCTGAACGTGCAAGTCCGGAGTGTCATCGGTGGTAATATATATGGGGCTGCGGTTATTGGACAACCATCGACTGGCTCAACCACCCCAGACCCTTGCGGAACCCACTAGACAAGACCAATCTCCAGGAGAACTAGAACAAATAATATCGAGAAGGGAATGAGGTACACAATAGCGGTGGATGGAATCGTGCAGCGAGGGAACGTATCGGAAGCCTGCAGCGACGTTGGGTAAATACCAACGAATGCATGGCGTTTCTAGCCCGCAGTATCACTGGCTGCTGTTATCCCGCAATGATCCCGGGGAAAAGTTACGCTATCAACTACTAGTTTAGTGCTGGCTTCTTTGCTGACAGACGTCTCCTTACTCAATTTCCTCGATTGTTGATTTTATCTAAGCTTGTATCTCCGGGGCTTATAGTATTACGGTACGGATATATAACCCAAATCTTCCGACATGTCCACCTCCGAATCTGTCCTCCATTATTCCTCCCACTCCCACTTTCCCCAAATCACTTCATTCATGGCCGGTGATCAAACTCCGTGCTAGTGTGGTGCACGCGACTTCCCCTCTCGTATCCTGGTCAAGCGTCTCTAGCCGGATGCAACCTAGCATTAACCCGAGCTTGCTGCGGTCCCGGGCCATCCTACGACGATTTGGGCCGCCCAACTCGCTGACGCGGTGTGGCACTCTCTAGTGACGCCTGAATTTCTGAACCCAAAGCATAAACGCCATAGCTAGGGAAGATGATCCAGAGAGCACTAATGCGACCGTTAGATGAACCAACAACATCAACAAGAACCGAAACCTACTTGGGTATGATCCACAGGAAGAACAAGGTCCAGGGATCGTTGCGATCAACGTCTGCGAAACCAGAGAAAGCCTCGTTCAGCCCTATGAAAGATTCATTAGAGTCATATGCCATACCAATCCTGACAGCTTAATCGCGACTCACAGAATAAGGCCGTCTTCGCAAGAGTCATAACGGAGGCGCTATATGCCACCAGAAGCGCAGTCGCGCCGGGACGACCAGTAACAACCTTGGACTCTTTCAGCATCCACATTGGCCCTTTCTTGGTTTTACGTTGGCCTCGAGACGTGTTTCCCGCTGTAACCCCATGTGTGTACACAATAACCAGGTAGTAGATATATCCAGCGGTCTCGACAAGGTTCAGGATAGTTTGCGCAATGGTAAATTCATTGCGCGCATTGAATGCCGGCCAGCCGTAGAGGTAATCGATTGTGCCATAAAGCGCATACGGAGTCCAGATCGGGGAATGTAGCTTGCTTTCGAGCTTCAGGTGAGGGCGCAGCAACACGTAGCTGGCATCCCATAGTACTAGTGGAACAGAGAAGATCAACCACAGTGTAATGGCACCAGACGGGACATGCACCCATTTTTTCCCAGAGCCATTGGCACCTGTAGAAGATGAAGAAGGTGTTGATGGCGGCGAAGCTCTCCCAGTCGCGGGGGGCGGAAAGTCGCGGGGATGGTGTCGCGTGGAAACCATGATGATATACGTCTAAGCAATGAAGCGTATCGATAGGAGTTAGGTTATTGGCAGGGCAAAAGAATCACGAGATCCATGTGAGGATAAAGATGTGAAAGACATTAAGAAGATTGAGCGCATGGATGCGAAAAAGTGAACCAGTCCTTCTGGGGGGCTCCCAAGTATGAGTGACGGTTAGTGACGTCGTCCAAGTTGAGCTCCAGCGCCACCTGTTCGCTGGTATGACGGGTGGGTTCGTTTTCCCTTCCATGAGATTTCTATGACCCGATCTGGACTGGACCCTAAATAGCTCGGATATATCTAATCTTTGCTGAAACTAGATCCGGGAGATTGAAGATCTCTCCACTCGTGGGGATTGTAGCGGTGCGCGGAAGGGAAGGGGGATATACTCTCCGCCGCCTGGCTCTTTACGTTTATCCGATAGCTGTCTCTTGCTGCGCTGACATCTAAACAAGCACGTAGTTGCGTTGCTCGCTTGTAGTCAATCCTAGACTTTTTGATTTACCAATAAAGAGATGAGTAGAGTGTGGACAAGCTTTCATCTCTACAAAACATTATGTTCTGCTTTGTCACACGATATAGTGTTGTAGTGTACTTAGCAGATACACAGCAGTAAACCTTCCGCTTGGACGTCGCTCTGCAGCAGAATCTGAAAGTCTAGAACCAATAGCCTAGCCATGATCTTCATCTTAGCGGACACCTGGTCCTTTTTGTTTCACGAACCGGTGGGTCGTCGTGGGTGTTGTTGTCCCCTAATGTGATCGTTGCACCAAATAAAGTGCTTATGGCTTCAATGGAGCTTGGGCCGAGACAGAATCCACCCACCAAGCATTGGAAACAGTCCACAGACATGCCCAATCATGCTTTCTGTTGAGGAGCGCTCTACGGAAGCAACGAAACGAATAAACAAACAAACAAAAAAAAACAGAAGCAAAAGAGTAAGTTAAATTGAGCTATCTAGGAGAGCGAAATAAAGTAACACATAGAGATGCTTTATGTGGAAGATCTGAGCACAGTATATAACTAATCTATATAAATATCTTAACACAGCCCCTTAGGCGAAGGAGTATATAAAGAAATATTAAATAAAACTGTAGATATTTCCTAAATAAGTAATTTTTTATATATTAAATATTATTTCCTAGATGCTGCGTGACTGTAATTAATAAGATTATTTTTAAAAAAATTTAAAAATTATAGAATTTTTTTTAATCTAATATTTTAATAAGACTGTCTGCAGGGTTACAAGTACCTGTAATATATTAGATTAATATAATATTTATTTTAATAAGATTTATTATAAATAAATAATAGTTATCTAGCTATTTAATAAACTGTATATAAATATTATAATTAAAAATTTATAATAAATTAATAATATTATTAAATAAAAGTATCTTACTATTATCTAATATCTTAAAATTAAATATTTATATTAATTTCTTAATATATAAAATATTTTTAACAGCGGTATTGTACACGCAGTATTTTATAATAATAAAAAAAAATATAATAATACTTTATTTATTAGATAACTAAATAATAAAATTATTTATATAAAATATAATTTATTTTTTTATTAATTTATTATTCTTGTGGTCAGTATAAACAGTATTTATATAAATTTTAATTTTTTTAATATAATTAGCTACCAGAATAATCCTGTAAAAAATAATATTATATAAATATTTATATATATTTTTTAATATTTTTATATTTATTATAATAAAAGCATATATATATCTTTATAAGTAGAATATAATAAGATATAAATCAGGTCTTATTTTAATAATTAATTAATTTAATTTATTTATAAGATTTTAATATTTATTAATATTAACTTTTTTAATTAATATCTTAGTATAATTTATTTTTATATAAATAAATATTATAAAAATAATAATACCTGAGTAAGATTATATTTTAATAATAATAAAATACTTTTTTATATAGATAGATTACCTGAGTAAAATATTACTTATTTTATAATTATAAAAAATATTATAATTAAACAGGATTTTTAATTTATCTAACTCTTTAAGTCTAAATATTTTATTTAAATAATATTTTATTAAAATTAGATTTATTTACTCAGAACTAGTAATAGTAAAATTATCTATATAAATAATAAGTTATATATTATTATTTCTGTATATATATAGATTTTCTAGTAAAGATTTAAAGCTGACTTTTTATAATTTTTTATTAAAAATATAATATTAAAAGTATGCCGCCTGCCGCAGTCTGTAAAATATTATTTTAAATAAATATATATATTTAGAGAAATTCTTATGGAATCCAGTTAGTTATTTTATATAAATTTATTTATTTTTTATTTATATATATAAATAAATAAAAATAATATTATATTACTTCCAGTAGAGATTTTTTAATATTATATTAATTATAAATATTTTAAGAGCAATCTTGCTTACTACTAGAATAAAAAATTTAATATAATTAATATTAGATATCTGATAATTATTATAAATTATTTAATAAATATAAAATTATATAATAATATTCTTTATATTAATTTTTAAATTAAATATTTATTTATTTAAAATTATGTGGGTACCAGCAGGTCAGTTAATTATTTTATAAATATTTATTAATTTAATTTTATTAATTTATATAATTATAATTTTTTTTTAATATAGAATAAGTAGGAACAAGATAATTTTTATATAAATATTTAATATATTAATCTTATATTACTTAAAAGTAGATAAGAAAGATAAATTAAATTCTTATTTTAATATAATTATTTATTTATTTTCTAGCTATAAAGAACTTTTTTTTTAATAATTTATTAAAATTATTTTAATATAGTAATTATAGCAGCAGGAGATTTAGATTCAGTAAATTAAAAATCTTATTTTATATATTTAATAAATAATATCTTATAATTATAAAGATTTTCTATTAAATAAATTAGAATAGTAGGCACAGGCAGAATAAAAAAAGTAGATTTAAAAGATTTAATTAATATAAATATAATTTTTATTTTTTTATATATAAAATTAGTATTATTATCTAATACAGGAAGAGCCTTATTATAATTAATTATATTTTATATATTATATATAATTATTTTATTAAAATTGATCCTGGTATTCTGTGTTAATATAATTAAATTTTTAAAAATAAATATAAATATAATAATTATATTATCAGAGTCTTTATAATTATTCTTATATATATATTCTTTATAGAATATTATATTTTTTAAATATTTAATCTTATTTAAATCAAGATATTATACTAGATATATATAGCTGTAATCTTTATTAAAATTAATAAAATAACTAATATCAGTACGGGAATTTATCTTTCTAAAGATAATATAATTCTTTATAGATATATATTAGTAGTAATAATATCTAAATATATATAAAAATTTAAATAAAATATTAAGATTTAGAAGATTATAAAATAATCTGTATAGATAAATAAATATTTATTTAATTTTATTTTTTATAAGAATTAGGCAGTTAAGAATCTATATAATAAATTTTATAATAAATAATTAAAGAATTATAAGTAAATCTAAGTCAAGTATTATAATTTTATTTATTTAATTAAATAAATTATTATAATATTTAGTAAATCTATTAGCTTCAGATATTCTAGATACTGATATTATAATATAAATTTCTTAATTTTCATAGTATATCTATTATTTAAATCTATTAAACTTATAGTTTTTATTAAGATATTATAAAGTAATATATTTATTAACTATATTTTTATATTTATTATTTATCTGAATCAGCTTTATAGAGATATTATTTTTCTATTTTAATATAATTATTCTGATTAATTAGGTAATATTATTTATTATTATTAAAAAATATTTAAATTTTTTATAATTAATTAAAATTATCTGCTGCACATCCGCGTGCTAAAATTATATAAGATTAAAAATTTTTAAAATAAGATCTCTTAATATTAAATACTTTATTTTTTTTAATAAATATATATTACAGTAGAGGTTCTTGCAGTATTTAAATTTAATTTATTAATTTTTTATAATAAAAATAATCTTATAGAATTCTATATGTCTATATTATTTATATAATAATAAAAAATTAATTATAATAAAGATTAATTCTGTATTCTAAATATATATAAAAAATATATTTTTATTTATTTATAAATATTCTATTACTTTATTATTTTTTTTCCTGTATAAAGTCAGATTCTTAATATTTATATATATTTTAAAGTTCTTTTATAAGAGATCTACAGAGAGAAGACTGTAGATAAAATTTAATTAATAAAATATCTTAATTTAGATCTTGAAATATTTATTATTTATAAATAAAAATAAAATCTAGTAACCAGCTGATTTAGTAATACTAATTTCTTTATTAAAGATATTATATTTATAAAAACTAAAAATATTTAGATTATAATAATAGTTTAGTAAAGTATAGTCAGGTATAAGATATTAAAAGTTATTTATATTATAAATCTAATATAATAAATAATTAATAATACTTTTAACTATTATCTTAAAAAAATTTAAAATATTTAAATTTTTATTATCTGATTTTATCTTATACAGAGTAATATATTAAATAGATATTTTTATAATTTATTTTACTAGTACTGCTGTCTCTTTAAAATTATTAATATTTAAATTTAAATTTAACTTCTTTTTTTTATACTAGTTATACTTTTTTCTAAAAAATTAGATATTTAAAATATATAGTTCTTATTACTTTAGATATAAAATTATATTAATATATTAATATTTTATTTAGCTATAATTAATATATCTATAATAATTATATACTTTATTAATATATTTAAAGATTATTTTCTTTATTTTAATAATATACTTTTTATAAGAAATATTTCTTATAGAATATATAGTCTTTTTCTACTTTTTCTTAATAATAAATAGCTTGTTAAATAAACCTTAATTATTTTTATAATAATTATTATTTTTATTTTATTAAATTTATTATATTATTTTTTTATATTTCTGTAAATAATATAGAAATTATTATTATTATAAATTATATTTAAGTTCTCTGGTATTCTATCTTTTATTAAAATAATTTATATAAATATATTAATTTTTATCTTCTATAAAAATATAAATATTGCTGTAAAAGCTAGTATTTTATATTATAAAATTTTATTAAAAATAAAATTAAATTAGAAATCTTTAATAAATTTAACCGCTGTAGCGTATAAAAATTATTTTATATTAAAAAAATTATATATAATATTTTAATATAATATAATATTATACCCGAGAATAATTCTCTGAAATACTTAATATATATTATTAATATATTTTTTTTATTAATAAAATCTGTAAATAAATCAAGTATTTTATTTAATAGATTCTGAGTTAACTATAATTAAATAACTTTTAAATAAATTTATTATATCTTATATTTTACATATTTATTATTAGATTTAGATAAATTTTTATTAATTAAATCTAATAGCCTGATATTTTTAAGTATCTGCTTAATTTAAAAATATTATTTTAAGAAATTTATATATCTCTTTAATAAAAACAGTAATTCTGGAATTTTATTAGATATTTATTTAGATAATTTATCTACTTATAATTTAAATATTATTATCTTTTTCTTTTTTAGAGAGAGATTCTTAAATAATATTTTATATTTAATTTCTTATATTATTCTGTCTATTTAACATACTTAGCATAAGTAAATAAATAAATTATATAATATATCTTCTTAATATATATAAATAATTTAATTAGATTTATTAGACTTGCTAAGATTAGTATTCTATAATACTAAAATATCTTATCTAGCAGTAAATAACTAACTGTAATAAGACCTGAATAACTTCACAGTATAGAGACTAGACTTATAACTTATTAAGAAGTACTCTACAGAAGCAATAAAATAAATAAATAAATAAACAAAAAAAAACAGAAGCAAAAGAGTAAGTTAAATTAAGCTATCTAGGAGAGCGAAACAAAGCAACACGTAGAGATGCTTTGTATGGGAGGTCTGAGCGCAGCACGTGACTAGCCTACATGAATGCCTCAACACTTTCTACAGTCCCACCGAGCATGTCTTGTCATGGATGAGAGTTCATCGATCTGCCTAGATCGTTCCGGTTATCCTTCGCTCCATGTATCCCAGTTGGGAAAGATGCCCCGAAGCGACTACGGTTTGCCGTAAAAGCAGATAGCGCAGAAGATACGCCGAAGAGCCCCCAGAGCCAGTGCTAGCTTTCTCCACAAAAGCCCACTCTTTTTGGGCAGCATACAGTTACGTTATAGTTGTTTCGAATTGCCAGTTCGTGGGGAAGATCACTTCGGGTGAGCACTGACCACATTCTCACTTGGTAAGAGATGGACCCCAAGAAGCACCAAAAGGTCGAAGCTCACCAAGCATGCCTATGCGATGTACACAAATTGGCTAATTTGTCGATACAGGATCTCGATAGACTTGCTCGCATCCGAGAAAATCAGCGGAATAGTCGCGCTAGGAAACAACAGCACACCCGCGAGTTGGAAAAGAAGTTGGCTGCTTTGCAAGAACAAGCGCGTCACCGGGATGTGGAACATAGAATGGCCGTGCAGAAGCTTGAGGCGGAGAACAGAAAGTTGAGATATCTTCTGACTCGTTCGGGCTTGCCGTCGGAATTATTAGAACAGTATCTGCAAATTGATGATCCAGCCTTGACCGAGAAGGTAGCCATTCCGAAGCTTCGTTCGACTGAAGCACAATGCCAGTCACAAGACAGTCCAGCCTGTATACCAAAGGCGGGAAATGCTGCTACTAGTGCACTACAATCAATTGGGTCAGGCCTTTCTAGTCCGGGACAAAGCTGTGATCGTGTTACAAAGCCTCGTTCGGAGATTGTGCAAGGGGCCTCGGACATTGAAGTGCCCGTCCGAGACCAATCTGTCTGTGGCTGCGGCCCAGGCGAAGCTGTGGAGTCATGGCCAAGCAATGGAGATGTTCTGAATACTACGCTTTGTGCCATTGCAGATGAATTGATCGACCAGTACAATACTCGTGGAGTGGAGCTGTCAGAGATCCGCAGGAAACTCTGGGCCGGTTTCTCCAAAGGACTCACTACAGAGGAGGGATGCAGAGTACAAAATCATATACTGTTTCAGGTTCTGGACGAGATAAGCAACAGCTGACATTATGTCTATTGTTTTGTGATGGTATTCAATATGGGCTCATCAATACGGTTAAGGAGCCCACTTTTGTCTTTTTGCAACCCACTTGACCACATATACCAACCCCAGAAGCACGGGGACCTCAATGAGAGGTCCAACTGTTGCTGCCAAAGCCTGGTCACTATCCACGCCAAATGTTGCTATCGCGACTGCGATAGCGAGCTCAAAGTTATTGCTGGCAGCAGTGAAACTCTGCGTGCAAGACAATCTGTATCCGAAACCGCAGCGCCGTGTTACGGCAAGAGTGACACCAAAAATAACAGCAAAGTAGACCACCAGAGGCGCTGCTACCCGGATAACAGATACGATCTGGTGGACCACATGTCGCCCCTGCGACGCAAATAGAACCAAGATGGTGAACAGCAGGCCGATCAGGGACAGCGGGCTAATCCATTTCAAGAAATGCTTATCGTACCACTCTCTGCTGATCAGGAACCTAAGGGAGAAACGGGTGACGATGGCTGCTCCCAGAGGGATACCAAGGAATACGCCAACGCTTTTTGCAGCCAGCGAATAGTCGATTGTTAGACCGTGGTTCGCTCCACCAATGACGCGAATGAAAAAGATGGCGAGGGGTGCGAATAGGACCATTTGCAAGATCGAATTTATGGCGACTAGAATCGCGCAGTATTCCCCATCACCCCCTGCTAGTCCTGTCCAGACGAGGACCTATGCACGTCAGCTTGTTACACTACTTTTAGAGAGGGGATGACATACCATGGCAATGCATCGAGCAATACCGACAAGGATAAGACCCTCTCGAAGGCCCCTCTCGTCAGGAAGAAACGCCCAGGCCAGACCAAGCTACCTCAATTAGCCCAGTATCGCCCAAAATATGACACGGACCTACCATGAACAGCGGAGCTATAATCCAATTGACGATGATGCTGAATCCAACCTGCACCCAAAGTCCCTTCTCCCGAAATGACCGATGTAGCGTTTCGAACCTCACTTTACACAAGATGGGATACATCATGACCAAGAGACCGATAGCTAGGATGCTGTTGGCATGCACTCTTCCATATTCAATCTCAATCAATGAATGGACAACAACGTACCAATAGGCACAGAAACGCCCACAAACTTCCCCCTCTCTAGCGCTTTGCTCGTATTAGGGACGAAGTTCCCCAAAATTATACCAATCGCCATGGCAAGGAAGATCCAGACCGCAAGGAAGCGATCCAGTATAGCCAATTGCTGGAAAGCAGACGATGGGCCTTCTTCGAAATGGTCATGCTGACTCTCGCTGCACGCCTCTACATCGGGATGATCCTTCTCTTCGTGTTCCATCGTAGGAATCGTCCTTTCGATAATATAATTAGACGCGCAAGCGTAAAATGAGAATACATTCCATGGTCCTTGCTTTTTGATGCCATACATCGGGACGCCAAGTCGAACAACCAATCAGAATCGAGCAGTGACATACTGTGTATCACGTGATATACAGAGCCCACGGTACTGTACTATAGAGATCCAATGCTCTTAGAAATACCAGAGCACAGCATCATATATTCATTCAGATATCTGCAAACATTATGCCCCCCAGAGTAGTATTACCTGGTTACTATCGATGCAGAAACTCGTGCTTGATATCGACCAAAGCAAGTACACCCTGTAGACCAGGTTACAGGAGTTCTCAGATTGTCTGAAGCGAATTAGTAGTGACTTGATTGATAACATGTCTCTTCTAATCCCTTCCACTAAATGATAATACATATTTCCCTCCCCTACCCAAATCGTGGCAATATAACCCACAGACATTTGGAACGAAATGCAGGAGAGAGAGAGAGAAAGGAAAGTAAACCCCCAGAAGGAGAAAGAAGTAATAAATCTGTGTAAGATTCGGGCCTAACCGATCCGATGATCCGAAGCGCAGCATCTAGTAATTTTAGTGCCAAAGGAAGAAAGAGAGATTGAGCACACGCCGTGGATAATGGGGAAAAGGTATAGGCATGGATACATGCAATGTAACGTCATAGTTGACGGGAGAGAGACAAAGAGAGCAATTAATCTCGTTTGTTTTTGTTCCCCGACAAGGCAGACATTAATCTGTATATCTTTTGCATTAGGAGGTATAGTATAAATTTTCTGGTTTAGATCTAGTTGGTAGTCACACCTCCAGATTCATTATTCTGACTGCCTAGTGCATTTCACTTCGCTCGGACCCCTCTACTAAATGTCTAAGTCGCCGATGAATATCCGGAGTACAGTACATGATGCCGTCCGTTGATATTACTATGGTGGATACCCTATAGGACTGCTTATAATTGTAGGATACGAGAACACTGGAATGATTCTACCGGACATACCACCTGCCCGTCGTACGGGTAATCATCGGCAGGAAGACAGGCTCAGTGTGGATGCCGTTCGGGTTCATCCGTCAATGAGCCTTGGTGAGCTGCTACATGTCCCCGGGTTTGTCGCGGTTGTGGCTGGTGGAGGCCCCAGTTCCGGGATACACCCCACACGGGGAAGGGTTTAAATTGCGAAGGGTAACTCGGGTGTCTAATGCACTGTTTAATGAGTACCTTCTGCCGGGCTTTGCTTGATTAGTATGCCGTGGGAAGATAGCCCTGGCTTCATTTCCAATGCATGTACGAGGGCGTCGTGCTGCTTGTAAGCTTTTAGTGGCTAGGATCTCTACCTGAGCCGGTTCTATATCAGTGATACAGATGCGACTTTTCTGGACTTCCCGTAGACATCGGATACCAGGCTCGGGGCTTTCGGGTCGATGTAGCTGATTTACTTCCCGTCTCGAGGCTTTCGGCGTCAACATGATTTTCGAATATCGGCATGCCTAGCAGCAAACAGGATGTCAGGCGGAAAGATGCCGTTGCTTGTTATCCTGGGTGTGTGAGACCAGGAGCGCGGGTGATGCGGGGGTGGGAGGCTCGAGTCAAAGCCAGCCAAATCTTGGCAGATGACGCCTGGACAGATCAGGATTGATCTTAGAAAATTAGGTAAAACAAGCGAGAGGCAAATAGTAATGCACGTCGGGCTCAGAGGGGGCCGCAACCGGAGTACTCGGCAGTTCAGAGTCGAAGAATAGAACTCATCTTCGATCATGCAATCTAGTATATCCCGTACCCACAAACAAACTGGGTCTTTGGTTACCTTTCAAAGGAAGGCGACATATTGGTAAGCAAAAGAAATGGAAGAAATGGCTCAACTTCTACCCGTAATCGGAGGTCGAGCGGGCTAGTTTGTCGTCCATGACGGAAACAAGACTTTCGAGTCTGAATCCCGAATCCTCAGGGTACTAGACCATACTAGTGAGTAGTAGTGAGTACCCCACGGAGAAATTCCCCACATCTTCAACCAACCCCGAATGGCCTGTCTCTGCATGAGCGCATGCGGCACCTGACCGAGAGCAGCCACCCTCCGAGAAAATTCTACGAAAACGATGCCTTTCTGGTAACCCGGTCAAGCGTTATGGTTCAAGATCATTAGACTGCCATGTGGTCGGCAATGTCCGCTCTACCGGCGATGCGTGGACGATCAACAGTCCGGACTTTGTCCGAGAACTCACTGCGTACAAGCAGTGGATGTCTTGACTAGGACTTAGATAACACACCCATAGTCATGCAAGCAATTTCTCATCTTCAGAGAGTACTCTGACTGTCTGACAAAGCCACTATTATTTTGCAGTGGCGCCCCATCACCGTCAGCAGCACCTTAGCCGAAAGTGGGGTAATTTCTTCCCCCAGGCTAACCGCTAACCTGGATAAATGATGAGCGACATTTGTGTTTAGGCGACACCGAGGATAATCGGAGTCAAGAGTGACGCCCGGAATATCGAGAGCAGTGAAGACGTCCCGTTCTTCTTCCGACTGGATCCCATCCGTGTTGTAGGAAGAAGGAGCTGCTTACCTCATCTCCTTCACCTCCCAAAGTGGAGCATCCCTTCTACTGTTGACCGAAATTAAGAGATTCCAAAGGGAGGAGTGCATTGTTTAGAAAGTGGTAGGTATGGGCTGACCCTTGCGGGAGGCCGTTGGGTCGACGTAAGGTGCATTGGAGCCATCTCGGTACGATGACATTTGTTGTGCTCAGAGACCGCGCTTGGCGGTATCTGCTTGTCTGACATGTCGCCAGGCACCTGTTTAACCAACTGGGTTTATGGTGTAGTACTCTGGTTGTGCCATCGGTCTGACCGCTGGGAAGCTGCTAGGATGATGAAGGGAAATGCGGGGAATGCTGGGGTGATGAGTGGAAGAAGACGGGATTACACGGTGGATACTGGAATACACACAAGAGTGACGGTAAGACGCCCAGCCGGATTCGGACCAACAATAGACTTGACGGCACGGATCCATGGGACTCTGGCTAGTAGCCATAGTACGAAGTAGTACCTTTTGAGGACTAATTCCTCCAATGACGACAGAGCGGAAAAACTCCCTCTGCTTCATGCTCAAGTTTCCCCATGCGCCATAGGTATTCACGTCGAGTAAGTAGAAGCTAAAATGTGCAGGGCCACTCGGGATTCGCTCTGGATGGAGTATTGTTTGGCTTTTCCACCTGCTGTATCGAGTGTTGGCGGGAATGAGCCAGACTTGCATGGAGATGAACTGCTAGACTGGTGTCTCAGTGAAGAATGTAGAAGTTGATTTGATACACCTTCCAAATCAGACATACATCAACAAGGATGAAGTTGAGAAAGGCAAAATATTATGCTTCTATGAGTTAGTTAATAACTAGTTAACTATGGTGGTATTGACGTAAACTTGGATGGTGCAGGTAATGATGCTGGTTTACCCACAGCTGCAGGGACTGGACGAGGTATTGTGTAACGTAATTACCGGGGCGACCCCTGGCCAAACTAGTGAACTAAACTAAATCCCCTTCCCCGAATGGCTTCTTTCTCCCCAGCTTTTCGTATTTTCCCACTACCCAAGACCATCTCCAGCTTGGTCACTATTGCACTAAAAATGGTCAAAGGAAGCGGGGCTCCAGACTTGTCCCAGCGTGGACCACGGACGCCGTTCCCCATGTTGTGCTGGTCTATAGGCTGGGAATAATTCTTACCCCGGTCAACTCAACCTCACCTGACCCTCCGACCTCTTTTGCCAACCGATGTAGAGTTTGTACATGGCTCTGCCGGCCCGAATGCATCATCGCTCGAGCTCCTTCCAGCTTCTCCGACAGTGCCTTGCTTGCCTAATTTCCGACTCCTCCAGGGCCGGTCTACTGGCTTGTTCCACCTAGTCTCCCAATCGGGACATCCCACGTCGATCAGCATACCGGACCAAACATCCATCGCCCATGCTTAGCGTGTCTCTCTTTGACACTGCATGCGGGACTGTGAATTGCATGAGTGGGTAGCTTTGCGGAGACAGCTGCACTGGCATACATCATCGTTGGGTTCCTCAATTCGCATGCCGTGGCGGACGGTCACTTTGTGGCGCTCAAACTATTTAATATGGCCCAGCTCCCCTTTCTCTCGCTGTTTTCGTTTCTGTCCTCCCTAAACCTCAAGTCTCTCCATTGGACAGGTGTTGCACGGCTGCTCACCTGGTTTGTTTTGCTCCCCCTTTGGGCGACCTTGCCATCATGAGGTTCACTTTGATCGAGGCGGTGGCTCTGACTGCCGTCTCGCTGGCCAGCGCTGTACGTGCCGTTACTTTGTCCTGTGAATTGCAATTGCGCTCAATTAGATTCACTTGTTTGTTTCATCATCGCTGACAATGGTCTATTCATAGGATGAATTGGCCTACTCTCCACCGTATTACCCATCCCCTTGGGCCAATGGCCAGGGCGACTGGGCGCAGGCATACCAGCGCGCTGTTGATATTGTCTCGCAAATGACACTGGATGAGAAGGTCAATTTGACCACTGGAACTGGGTAGGGCTTACATGGCGCAATGTGTATGTTCCGGCTAACAACTTCTAGATGGGAATTGGAACTATGTGTTGGTCAGACTGGCGGTGTTCCCCGGTAGGTTTGAAAAGATTGTCGAGACGGGGCATTTATTGATTAACGGTGACAGATTGGGAGTTCCGGGAATGTGTTTACAGGATAGCCCTCTTGGCGTTCGCGACTGTAAGCCATCTGCTGTTGTTAGGCTTTGATGCTCTTACTGACACGGCGCAGCCGACTACAACTCTGCTTTCCCTGCCGGTATGAACGTGGCTGCAACCTGGGACAAGAATCTGGCATACCTTCGCGGCAAGGCTATGGGTCAGGAATTTAGTGACAAGGGTGCCGATATTCAATTGGGTCCAGCTGCCGGCCCTCTCGGTAGAAGTCCCGACGGTGGTCGTAACTGGGAGGGCTTCTCCCCCGACCCGGCCCTAAGTGGTGTGCTCTTTGCAGAGACCATCAAGGGTATCCAAGATGCTGGTGTGGTTGCGACGGCTAAGCACTACATTGCCTACGAGCAAGAGCATTTTCGTCAGGCGCCTGAAGCCCAAGGTTATGGATTTAACATTTCCGAGAGTGGAAGCGCGAACCTCGACGATAAGACTATGCACGAGCTGTACCTCTGGCCCTTCGCGGATGCCATCCGTGCAGGTGCTGGCGCTGTGATGTGCTCCTACAACCAGATCAACAACAGCTATGGCTGCCAGAACAGCTACACTCTGAACAAGCTGCTCAAGGCCGAGCTGGGCTTCCAGGGCTTTGTCATGAGTGACTGGGCTGCTCACCATGCTGGTGTGAGTGGTGCTTTGGCAGGATTGGATATGTCTATGCCAGGAGACGTCGACTACGACAGTGGTACGTCTTACTGGGGTACAAACTTGACCATTAGCGTGCTCAACGGAACGGTGCCCCAATGGCGTGTTGATGACATGGCTGTCCGCATCATGGCCGCCTACTACAAGGTCGGCCGTGACCGTCTGTGGACTCCTCCCAACTTCAGCTCATGGACTAGAGATGAATACGGCTACAAGTACTACTATGTGTCGGAGGGGCCGTACGAGAAGGTCAATCAGTACGTGAACGTGCAACGCAACCACAGCGAACTGATCCGCCGCATTGGAGCGGACAGCACGGTGCTCCTCAAGAACGACGGCGCTCTGCCCTTGACTGGCAAGGAGCGCCTGGTCGCGCTTATCGGAGAAGATGCGGGCTCCAACCCTTATGGTGCCAACGGCTGCAGTGACCGTGGATGCGACAATGGAACATTGGCGATGGGCTGGGGAAGTGGTACTGCCAACTTCCCATACCTGGTGACCCCCGAGCAGGCCATCTCAAACGAGGTGCTTAAGCACAAGAATGGTGTATTCACCGCCACCGATAACTGGGCTATCGATCAGATTGAGGCGCTTGCTAAGACCGCCAGGTAAGAAGATCCCCGATTCTTTTCCTTCTTGTGCAATGGATGCTGACAACATGCTAGTGTCTCTCTTGTCTTTGTCAACGCCGACTCTGGTGAGGGTTACATCAATGTGGACGGAAACCTGGGTGACCGCAGGAACCTGACCCTGTGGAGGAACGGCGATAATGTAATCAAGGCTGCTGCTAGCAACTGCAACAACACAATCGTTGTCATTCACTCTGTCGGACCAGTTTTGGTTAACGAGTGGTACGACAACCCCAATGTTACCGCTATCCTCTGGGGTGGTTTGCCCGGTCAGGAGTCTGGCAACTCTCTTGCCGACGTTCTCTATGGCCGTGTCAACCCCGGTGCCAAGTCGCCCTTTACCTGGGGCAAGACTCGTGAGGCCTACCAAGATTACTTGGTCACCGAGCCCAACAACGGCAACGGAGCCCCCCAGGAAGACTTCGTCGAGGGCGTCTTCATTGACTACCGCGGATTCGACAAGCGCAACGAGACCCCGATCTGGGAGTTCGGCTATGGTCTGAGCTACACCACTTTCAACTACTCGAACCTTGAGGTGCAGGTGCTGAGCGCCCCTGCATACGAGCCTGCTTCGGGTGAGACCGAGGCAGCGCCAACCTTCGGAGAGGTTGGAAATGCGTCGGACTACCTCTACCCCAGCGGATTGCAGAGAATTACCAAGTTCATCTACCCCTGGCTCAACGGTACCGATCTCGAGGCATCTTCCGGGGATGCTAGTTACGGGCAGGACTCCTCCGACTATCTTCCTGAGGGAGCCACCGATGGCTCTGCGCAACCGATCCTGCCTGCCGGTGGCGGTCCTGGCGGCAACCCTCGCCTGTACGACGAACTCATCCGCGTGTCAGTGACCATCAAGAACACCGGCAAGGTTGCTGGTGATGAAGTTCCCCAACTGGTAAGTAAACATGAGGTCCGAACGAGGTTGAACAAAGCTAACCAGTCGCAGTATGTTTCGCTTGGCGGTCCCAACGAGCCCAAGATCGTGCTGCGTCAATTCGAGCGCATCACGCTGCAGCCGTCGGAGGAGACGAAGTGGAGCACGACTCTGACGCGCCGTGACCTTGCAAACTGGAATGTTGAGAAGCAGGACTGGGAGATTACGTCGTATCCCAAGATGGTGTTTGTCGGAAGCTCCTCGCGGAAGCTGCCGCTCCGGGCGTCTCTGCCTACTGTTCACTAAATAGCTCTTAAATGGCATACCATGATGGCCATGGTACATGAATTAATGATTTATGCCAATAGCAAGACCACTGTAGATGCAGATGTAGAATGTGTATTGCGTAGTAGCGTGTAGATGATGATACAAGCGATCCGACACATGGTAGGAAGAGTGGCGCTAGTTGGGGCGGAAACCAAGCGACGTCATCCGCTGCCGACTTCGCCAGTCTTTCTTCTTTTCCTCTTCAGCCTTCTTCCTCCGCTTAATCCAGCGACCATTGCCAATTGCCTCTACAACAACTAATTGCCATAATACTCTACTCCTATTCAATATATAAACCACAATCTCGACATACTTACACCAGCCTGGACACACGAGCAACCATGCCCTCTCCCGACCCTCCAGCCCCAGCGATACGACCCTTCCAACCACCCATAACAGCGCTCCTCATCTACCCAGCGACCCTAATCGTGGGCTCACTCTTCTCCGTCCTCTCTCCCACCGCACAAGGCACGCGCGACGACGGCTCCAGCACCCTCCGCCCCCACGTTGAGCCCCTAGCCCCGTCCATCGCGTCAGACCTCAACCTCTCCTTTCCTCCGCCGCGCCCCGTCAACTACTTCGCCCGCAAAGACAACATCTTCAATCTATACTTCGTCAAAGTCGGCTGGCTCTGGACCACCGCCGCTCTCGCTTTTATCCTGCTCTCCCAGCCCGCCTACACCCTCGCCGCTAGTCACCGCGCCCGACGCACTGGCCAGGCCGTCCTCCGCTACATCCTCGCCACGACAGTGTGGTACCTCACGACGCAATGGTTCTTCGGCCCGCCGATTATTGATCGCAGCTTTGTGCTGACGGGCGGGAAGTGTGAGCGGGCGGTGCCGTTGGCGGAGAACGAGCCCGCCGCGGCGGATGTCAAAACGCTGTTGACGGCTGCGGCGTGTAAACATGCGGGTGGGGCGTGGAGGGGTGGTCATGATGTTAGTGGACATGTGTTTTTGTTGGTGTTGGCGACGTCGTTGGTTGTGTTTGAGTTGGTAGGGGGGAGTCAGGGGTGGGGGAAGGGGGGAGTGAGTGTGAATGGGAATGGGGAGGCGGAGAAGGAGGTGAGTGAGGAGGTGGATGTCGTGAGGGTTTGGTCTGGCAGGTTTGCTTGGGCGGTTGCTGGGTTAGGGTGGTGGATGTTGTTGATGACGGGTATTTGGTTCCATACGTGGTTTGAGAAGGTATGTTGCTGTCTGATTGGGGGTGAAGTGATGATGATGACGATGATGCTGATGATTGTAGTTGACGGGGCTGTTGATCGCCCTCGGCACGGTTTATACGATCTACATCTTGCCTCGACGGGTCTTGCCGTGGAGGAATGTGGTAGGCTTGCCGGGTGTTTGAGTATACATGATATGATTATGGCATGATAGATGGTGTAGAGTATAGTACACGATGAATACATTTCTTACCTTAATACACATTAAGCACCGGCGGTATAACAGGCTCGTTCTCGAAGAAACCCCGACAGAAAGCTACGTACCAATTAGCCCAATCACTAGCTCTCAAGAGAACTGGTATTATAAACTCACCTCCCGGAATCAACGCCGCCGCATACATCACCTGCGTGATCGGCCTCAAATCCTCAATATCATCCTCCTCCTCCCCAGCCATATACGGGGCCCAGAAATCCACAATCTGATCCGCATACACCTTCAAATCAACCGCCGTATCCTTCTCGGCCAGCTGCTCCGCAACACACTTAATACCCATCGCGGCGCCAAACTCCCTGAACGCCAACCGATACCGCGGATCACGCTGTAGATAGTGCTTAACCTCAAACAGATCATCTACCCATCGTCAGCCACCATCATCCACACCATGAATAGAACAAGAAAGAAAGAGAGAAAAGAGAGAGAGAGACATACAAACCCTCTCGACCCCCCTCCCCAACAACTCCCCCGCCCACTCCTCCTCCTCCCCCTCAACAAGATGCGCCGTCCACAACCCCATCCCCAAATCCAACAAATCATCACTAACCCTCTGCCTCCCCTTCCGTCTCATCACCCTCCTATAATCCTCAATCTCCTCCTCCAACACCCCTTCCCCTCCACCGCCACAGGCCAACTCATAAGCCCTAACCACCCTAAAAACCACAAACCCATCAACAGGGTCCAAATTCCCCTCACTCCCAACAAGCACCCTCCTCAACTCCGTATCCAATTTCCACACCATCCGATCCAACCTCCTCCCATCCACCCCCCTGATGAAGAAATGCGGATGTATCGCCCTGCCCAACTCCACCGCCAGCTTATTCCACTTCCCCTCGCCGCTTGCCACGCTCATCCGGTTCAGCGCGAACATCCACAGCGTCAGGTAATGGTGGTATTGGCCGTCGCAGTCGTGGCCTGAAGCTGAGGGTTTGCCGATGCGTAGGCCGCCGGCGAGCGGGTGGGATGGGGATGCGCCGGGGAGGAGGGGGTGGGGAGGATCGCGCGTCCGGCCGAGGGTGTTGTGCACGGAGGTGATGAGGCGGGAGGCGAGCGTTAGGTAGTGGTTTTTGCTGGGGGGATTGGGGTGGATACGGTGTAGGGTGAGGAAGTTTAGGACCCCGATGGCGTCCGTCCAGAGGTACCGGCCGAGGTGGCCGCCGGAGGAGGGGGGTGGGGTCCAGGTGCTGGGGGGGGGGGGGGTGGTTATGGAGGGGCCGTAGAGGGTGGTTTGGGCGCGGAGGAAGTGGGTGAGGGTTTGGGGGGTGGGGGTTGGAGGGGGCATGTTGGTGGTTGTGGTTGTGATGGGAGGTGTATAGATGGGGTGGTGGTGAGGGTGGTATAGTATAGGTGTGGGTATGGGTGTAGATGGGGTTGGATGTATGGTAGTATAGTGGTATGGAAACGGGGAGACTGGTAGGAGCTGTTAGGATCAAATCAGAGTTGGAGTATTTACTGAAACTAGCAGGGAATGAATTGATTTGTTCGGCAGAAGAGCTCAGTTATTGTACGTTTGATGTCTATGCAGTGAAGTCATCATGAGCGGGAGGTGACCTCATCTAACCCTAACCACATCTATTATACTGCAGTCTCGTACATCCCGATACTCATCAACTACAATCATCATGGACTAACCACAGTATCATACATACCATACTGGTATAATCTATGTTCAAATTCCTGTCCAAAAGAAAGAAGAATATGTCCCTCCAAAACCTCCTCTCCACCGCCGCCCGTCCCCTCCCCCCCATCCACGACCCCAACTTTGCCTCCCACTTTGACAGCTTCGCCAACTACCGCGTCGTCCTCCTCGGAGACGGTAGCCACGGCACCTCTGAGTTCTACGCCGCCCGCGCCGAGATCACAAAGCGTCTAATCGAGCACCATGGCTTCACAACCGTCGCCGTCGAAGCCGACTGGCCTGACGCTGAAGCCATCGACCGCTATGTGCGCCAACGCCCCGGCCCCCAAGCCCACCTCACCAATGACAAGGACGAGCCCTTTCAGCGATTTCCAACTTGGATGTGGCGCAATCGCGAAATGCAAGACCTAGTCGAGTGGATGCGCGACCACAATGCCAACCTACCCGATCACCAGAAGGCCGGGTTCTACGGCCTCGATCTGTACAGCATGGGGGCATCCATCCGCGCCGTCGTAGATTACCTCGACCGTCTGGACCCAGAGGCAGGCAAGCTGGCGCGTCGTCGCTATGGCTGTTTGCAACCGTGGGTGGATGATCCAACGGCATACGGACTCGCGTCGTTGCGCGGATTGGCGGACTGCGAAAAGGGAGTCGTGGATATGCTGCGCGATTTGCTGCGCAAACGACTGCAGTATGCGGAGGAGGACCCGCATAATGGCGAAGAGTCGCATAGTAGTCAGCAGAATGCGTATCTAGTGCGTGACGCGGAGAGATACTACAAGGCGATGTATTATAGCTCCGCGTCGTCATGGACGCTGCGCGATACACACATGGTGGATACGCTGCGGCGCATCCTTCGTCACAAGCCTCCTGGCAGTAAGGCAGTGGTGTGGGCGCATAATTCGCATTGTGGGGATGCGCGATACACGAGCATGGGCAGTCGGCGCAATGAGGTGAATATTGGACAGTTGTGTCGCGAGCAGTTCGGTCGGGATAAGGTTGCGCTGATCGGCTGTGGGACACATACTGGAACTGTGGCGGCTGCGCATGAGTGGGATGAGGATATGGAGATAATGAAGGTCAAGCCGTCGAGACCGGATAGTTGGGAGTGGTTGGCGCATCAGACGGGTATTGAGAGCTTCTTGTTGGATCTGAGGCCGACGAGGACTAGTCCGGAGTTGAGGAGCTTGATGGCGGCAGAGGATCAGCGGTTGGAGAGGTTTATTGGCGTCATTTATCGGCCTGATACTGAGCGCATGTCGCATTACTCGCAGGCTGATCTGCAGAACCAGTTCGATGCGTATGTCTGGTTTGATAGCACCGAGGCTGTTAAGCCGTTGGAGCGGGTGCAGCCGCGGACGGCGATGGGAACGGAGGAGACGTATCCATTTGGGTTGTAGAGTAGACTGTAAGTATTGGTAGAATGGACTGTAAGGAGTAAAAGTAGATAGTGTTTCAAATTAATGATGATGGACGATATAGTTAATGTGATAACTAGCTCATGCACAGCACAACACGCTTAGCTAAGCCCTGACGTCAGCTCACCGCCTGCGGGTGTTTGTTTATTCTTGAATCTCGCCTTCGCCCTGCATTCATCTAATTCATGATCCATCCCCCCACACAATCCAATTCTTCGACATCTCGATACCCAATTCCAACGTCACCCGATACACATTGACCACCACCATGGCGGTTCGACGGTCCGCCCGCCTGCGCAGCCGCCAGGCCACCGAGGTGAGCACACCACCCATCCCACTCAGCCTCCATTCCGATGGGCTGCTCGCGCCCTTGCATGACATTCACTGACTCGACCTTAAGGAGCCTGAGGCCCCTGCCGACCCCGTCGTCACTAACAACAACGCCCCCTGCGACACGAACAATCACAACAACTCCGAGAACACGTCCGAAATCGACACAACCATGGCTCGTCTCGGCAAACAGCCGGAGAGATTGCCTCCCGTCGTGGAGCACGAGGAGCCAGTTGATGCTGCTAAGGATGCCCCCGTGCAGCGGTCGCGGAAGAAGGCCAAGACTCAGACCGCGTCTAAGAGAAAGTCCAAGGTTGAAGCTAAAGAGCCTGTTGCTGAGGTGACTCCGGCGATCGCTGAGTCTCAGTCCAAGACGGATGCGACTGAACCTGCCGTTGCTGAGACTGAAAAGGAGCCTACTCCCAAGGCTATGGCTGAACCCGCTGCTGTTGAGACTGAAAAGAAACCTACTACCAAGGCCATACCTGGACCTACTTCCAAGCTATCGACTCCTAAGAAATCTATCCCGACTCTCAAGGGCACGCCTGTCAACAGAAATACGCCAGTCCAAAAGAACACACCCGTCCACAGAAGCACGCCCGTCCACAAAAGCACACCCACCAGAACCCCCTCCAGCACCCTCGTGCGTCCGTCCCACCAAGAAATGCACCCCAGCAAGGTCCGCCAGAGCACCACCAAACAGGCAGACTCTGGTCTGATCCTGGGCTTTAAGCCCATCAAGAAGGACGCCGAAGGCAAGGTGATCAAGGACACTGTCGCCGACAACACCCCTACCAAGGCCAAGGCCTCGCCCGCTCCTTACTACGGCACCCCCGCGTTCGAGTTCAAGTTCTCCTGCGACTCGCAGCTCAGTGACGAGGCCAAGAAGCTCATGGAGACCGTGCGCGAGGATGCTGCCAAGATCAAAGCCCAGATGACCCTGGAGCCCGACCAGAACCGCGCCGAGGCAGCGGACCGGAAGATCGTACAGCCCAAGGGCAAGGCCAGCCGCTTCAGCGACGTGCACATGGCCGAATTCAAGAAGATGGACTCCATTGCTGGTCACGCGTCGGCTTTCCGTGCCACCCCAGGACGCTTCCAGCCAGTGGTCAAGACACTCAAGAGAACCAACTCCAAGGCGCGTTTGGACGATTCGGACCGCAACTCGCCATCACCATCCAAGATTGCACGTCCTTCACCTGCCCTTGCTGCCCCTGCTAGCAACAAACGCGTCAAGCACGACAAGGCCGATGATGCGTCGACGCGTCGTCCCACTGCGGCCAGCCCTTTCAAGCCTGTGCAACCCCGGCCCAGATCTACAATGCGCAGATCGTTGATGACCCCGACGCGGTCCTCTGCGGCGCGTGCTTCGTCAGTCACCGCAAAGCCGCCCCGCACCTCGATGATCCCGTCGCTCGTCCGGTCTCCTGCCGCGAAGCCGGCCGATGTGCCGCGCACACCTCAGACAGAGTTCAACCCTCGGCTGAAGAGCAACTTGCCCACTTTGGGTAACCTGAAGTCAATCCTCCGCCGCCACCAGCCTCTGTTCTCCAAGGATCCTGCTAAGATTGCCGCGGGCACCCATGTGGCGGCTCCAGACTTTACCTCGAACCTGCTGTTCGGATCGCGAGGCACCACGGAGGAGCCTGCGCAGACGCCGTCGCCAAAGAAGCGCGTGGAATTCACTCCTAGTGTCAAGGCCCGCCACGAGGAGGTTATGTTCTCGCCATCTCCATCGAAAGTTCCGGTTGCGAGTCCCTCGCGGACCATTTCCGACGTTGTCTATCCCACACTGCCGGTGTTGACTCCGGAGCAGAACAGGGTCAGCGCCAAGTCTCCCGCCCAAGCGACAACCCCTACCATCCGTCATGTCCGCCCGTCAGATGTCCATGCCAACCCTCTGCCTGAGGTCGCAGGCGTGCCGCACGGAATCGGCCACAAGAAGAGAACCCGTGAGAGTGGTGAAGACACCAAGACTAATGATCTCCCTGAGGTCGCGGGTGTTCCTCACGGCATCGGCCAGAAGAAGAGAAACCGCGCTGCCCTCGAGGATGAGACTGACACCGAGAATGTGCCGCCTGTCGACTCAGCCGCGGACGCGCGCAGTGCTAAGCGAATGAAGATGACCTCGCCCTCTCCGATCAAGGCGCCCATTCTGAGTGCCCGCAAGGCTGCGGCCCCCAGCCCAACCAAAGCCGCGACTCCCAGCCCCACCAAGCCTCGCTCGCACACTCCCCTCCGATCGGCCACAACCAGCCGCATGAGCACTCCGCGCATCAGCACTCCGGCCAGTGTACGCGCACGCAACCGGGGCGTGTTGAGCGTCAGCCGCTTGAACATGCTGGCGCAGCCGAAGAACCGTGGCTAATTTGAATGAGACTAACATTGATTGCATTTCTGAGCGTTGGACGCATGGTACTTACTGCGACATTTCTTGTGATGCTTCCTTTCTTTGGCGGCTGCCGTGTATTTAGTGGTCTGGCTTGGTGTCTCCGGGACTTTGATTCTAGTGAAATTGTAGGCGCTGGGATGCATCCGGTATGCAAGGCGTTCATGATTTGATTGATTGGTGAATACAGAGATTGAGACTGTATCAAATTACTTGTTAATGAGTTATTCTCTCAACTACAGTGATGAAGTAAATGGTATCAGTAGTTCAGCAGCTTGTTTTAGCCTTAGGTCCTGTTGTTGTTATCTGGAGTAGCTTCATAAGGAAGGTTGTGATAACGCTGCGTGCATTTGAGCCACCTGGGGAGCAACGCATAACTATCAGGCAGAGGCTATGCCATCTTCAAAGGCATCCCGAATACTGACACATTCCATAACTATAACTATTGGGTGGGATCACCATTCTAGGAAGGCAGCCTATCTGACAGATGAATCAGGTAATCTCGTGGACTACACCTTCCTCTTTTCTTCCTCTCGTCTCCTCCCTTGTTCTCAGAGACTTGCAAATCTTCACCTTCTTTAATATCTGCTACTTACGATGACCAGCAAGTTATCAAAATAGCATCAAGTACCTTTGGAGATTCTTTCAGCTCATCCACAATGCTTACGTTTGAGTCGATGATTCATTCAGCACTAAGCACGCGAGTGCCACACCATGCGATATGATTAGTTCGACCAACCACCCTGGCGCCTAAAAGGTGGGGATTCATGCATTGAGACAGATCCCTGTCTTTCAGCTCTGCCAACTCAGCAGAGGGGGATTATTATTGAAATGGAGATAGACTCCACCCCAGCCTCCTCACAACAGACTACAGGCTTGTTCTGTCTGCCTCAACTTGTTGCCTTTTCACACTTGAGAGAGACTTTTCCTTCAGTACCAGGACTTCTTCCTGCATGGGATATCTTTATCAATAGGGTCATCATGGACGAGAATGGGGATGTGAGCCAGCCTGTCGTGGATGATGAGACTGGAACGTGTCCCTTGTGTTCGTGTCTTCTAACTATTCAGTATTCTGAGGCCAATGAAAGGTATCTTCTTTCAAGGTCTCGGGGGTACGGTGATCCACAACTTTATTTGAAGGCTCAACATATTTGTTTCCATGAGCAGTGCCCAAGTTGTGACGATATTCCCAATGATTTGCTCTGTTGGTTTTGCAGCCATCTTAGGCCGCGGCACCTGAATCATTACATGACTCAACACATCGAAGAACTTGAGCTGAACTTTGGGACGGTTCAGGACATACAGCAGCGGTCTGGCAATTGTGTATTTTGCAGCATTGTTATCCAAGAAGGGTGCCTGAAGGGTTGCTACGAGTATTCGAATTTAATTATGCGAATTAATTCTACACCTCCATACAAGGATATACACTTGGAGTTCGGCTTCTACGCAAAAGGTTTGTATCATACTTAGTCATTAGTTCAAGCATAAGCTAATCATAATTGTAAGATCTTACATGGGTTGGAGCTAAACGCATTGGTGGAATTTTTGACATCTCCAAAGCAACAGTATGGCAGCAGCCGATGGTAGACTGGAGCACAGTCCGCATCTGGGTAGAAAGTTGCGACAGAGAGCATGAGGGCCCATGCCACAATGGACCCCTAAACTCACCGCCAGACAAATTTCGGCTTATTGACACGGAAAGAGGATGCGTAGTAATGGCTCCTCCTTCCTGCAAATATGCTACCCTGAGCTACGTGTGGGGTAGCACTACTGATGAAAATGCATTGGCAACAACAAGAACCATCAAACTGCTGGAGAAAGAGGGTTACCTGTTCAAAACCCCTATACCGGCGACCATTAAGGATAGCATCCGTGCATGCATTGAATTGAAGATACGGTACCTCTGGATCGACAGACTGTGCATTGTGCAAGATGACACTGCCACCGTGAAAGCCTCACAGATCAATGCCATGGGCGACATATATAGCCATTCTTATCTCACCTTAGTGGATTTAGAAGGTGTCACCATGGATCACGGTCTTCCCGGGGTTTCGCAAGCAAGAGCAAGCCATACTATTTATAAGGCATGCGGAATGAGCTTGAGAGCCATAGAAGATAGTTTCCCTAAGCTTGTCTGGAATTCAAAATGGAAATCCCGAGGCTGGACGTTCCAGGAGGCAATGCTATCGACAAGGATGTTGTTTTTTACAAATGCAGGTGTATTTTTCGAGTGCTCCCAAGCTTCTCAGGAAGATAGATTTGCACTGTCAACGTCAACGCGGTTACAGTTCGCACTGGCCACAACATACGATGAACTTGTGCAAGAATATTCGACCAGATCTTTTACTAGCAATTCTGATGTCCTTAGGGCATTTTCTGGCATTATGCATTGGAAATATGGGACGGAGCATTACTTTGGCGTACCGTACTGTGATTTTGTGAGGGGTATGCTCTGGCTTCCCCGTGGATCATCTGCTCACGTAACATCTGTGGCCAGGTGTACAGAAAAAGGGGATATTTTTCCGACCTGGTCGTGGTCTTCTGTAATGGGGTGCATTGACATTTATTTATACGAAAACACCCATACATCATTACTGGGTGTGTGGGGTATCCCATCTTCCAGGACTAACGAAACGGTGCACATCATTTGGCCTCATAATCGACAACTGTCACGGGACGAGGAGGACGGCTGGGTTCGAGAACTTGGTATCGCATTGGCGTGGAAGGAAGGTTGCTTTCCAAGGCCACTACCGCCAATTCTGAATGTCAGCACCACCTGGCAAGAGTATCGGGCCCTTCTCAGATCCGGATGGGCATCATTTGATAAGCTTAACGAGGAGGCGCTTGGGCTAGCATATCTGCAGGGGAAGGAAGATTCCGAAAAGATATTTTCCCCATCTAACATGGAACATGCCAATCAGCCGGGGGCATTGCTGGGGCATACCCAGTCACTTGAAGCTCAAATGATCCAGTGGGAAGACAAAGAAAACAAATTCTTTTCTGGAAGACGGTTTGTGCAGGTAATATTGCACGGCATGCGTGATGACAGGGTAGACGTGTGGATATACCCTCGCCCTGCCCATTGGCAATTTCTGGACCATGATTACAGTACGGATCATGATACTAAATTGAATGTGCTTGCTCTTTCAATGAGTCATGATCATGAAAAAGGCGACACTCAGAGTCGATGGTATGATTCCGAGGGAAGGGTACTCTGCTCCTCCAGAGGCAGGAGTATCAGGTTTATGGTCGATGTATTGATTGTCGAAACTCGAGATGGACTCAGTCGACGAGTGACTATAGGAAGGGTCGAGCTTCATGACTGGATTTCTGCGTCGCCTAAATTTCGGAACTTCATACTGGTATGAAATGTTTGGAGAGGTAGATTTTCATCAGGAGATAAGTACGCACTGAGGTGCTGTCTGAGTCCATATAATGGAATAATTACTGCTTTATATAGATCACATTGATTGCCAATCTTCTTTGCGTGCATAATGGCAGTTGATGAATTGACAACCAAAAATGATATCTAGTACATTCCTCCCCACATTTTCCATGCCGTTACCAAGGCACTATGTTCTTTTATCGTGGAGATACTCGCCTAAGTAAGTGTCCAGAAAGCCTTTATTTTCCCACCTAAGCCCAACCAAGAAAAACATTTCTCTTCTCTGTATAACTTCAACAGCTGACTCATAACGAGCGGGAAATGAGTCCATCAGTTCAAGTTATACAGCGCTTAGTGAACAGTCAGTCTTAATTGAAAATTCAGAAGGACACAGACAAGAGAATTCGAAGCATGTATGCGTAATGAGAATATCTCAATTTTCCGTTTCACAACTCTTCAAGTGCCCATGCATCTTGAGTGCACGACATTCATGAAAATCATATTATTATCATTATCATTATCATTAACCTTGAATATAGCGCATCTATAGGTATCCTTGCTAAGTCACTAACAGCCAAAAAGATTATCAAAGACAGTCTTCTAGTACTTGCTAATATATTTTACTCTCTAAAACTACAGATAACATATCTTTATATAGATTTTATATAAGAATTATAAGTTTATCTCATTATCACATTCAAATTATTAGTCTTTGCTGAGTAACTCCAGTTTATCAGCCTTTATGTATAGATATAAGAAGTATCATAGTAAGAAACACCACACACCACACCATCCATACCTACCACTCCACTACCTGTGTAGAAAAACCCAAGCACCAACAACCTACCCACCTATCCACACAAACAAAGAAACCTTAAACCAAAACCAAAACCTAAACCCAAAAACCACCGGCGTAAGAACCTACTCCCAACAACCATCCACCTCCACCTCCACCTCCACCTTCACCTTCACCCTCTACCTACTCACCCACAAAAAAGTCGGTGAACCAAGCCCAACCCAAACCAACTCAACCCGCAATCCCAAAGAGGTAAAGTGTACCATAGCACAAGAAACAAGAACGGGAACCAAGTGGACACACACTCTCTCTCCCCCTCTGAATCAATGATTATCATTCATGGAGAAATGAGGGGTAATTACTAACCCTAACCATTTACCAACTACTTACTCCGTACACTAATACTTTACTCCGTGTTGGGCCAGTGAGATTATCAACCATGCTTGATAATTTATCTGATTGGTGGGGAGAAATGACTCACTCACCATACTACTTACTTTTTTCGACTGTGGGATTTCGTGCCGGTTGCCGGGTACCGGTTATCGCTTTACTTTCCTTAATTAACAGAGCTCATTTTATGGGCTTATTTTACCGAAGTTGAGGAGTTATTTGACTAATTTTATTTTATGTATTTAGCTATATAAATATATACTCAATTCAAATATGTGAAAAGAAAGATAACGCCGTCCCATGGATCGATTCCCACCCACGGCAAATGTTAAAAAAGTAAAGATAATCAAAAGTGGGTATCGTATCGGGTATCTCCGCTAAGGCAACCAAACCAAACCAAACCACAATAACTACTAACTATTGCACACACAATGTTAGTAGTCAGAAGGGTTGTCAGTACTGTACAAAAAAGCAATCATCAGTTCATCAAACCATAATCATCATCAATATCATCATCATCATCATCGTCATAGCAGCTTAGAAACTACTCCTACTATCCTGCCTTCCAAACGGCTTGGTAAAGTCCAACGGACTTAATTCCCGCTCCGTGGCGGAGTTATTCGTCTGTGTCTCCCCACTCCACGATTGCGAGCCGTTCGAGTGTCCCGTGGGCGGAAGATCCAGACTATGTCCATGATCTCGGTCAAAACTTCGGTCTCGACCAATCCCACTTTTCAGGATATTGCCCGTCCCCGCACCACCGCTCTCGGAGTGCTCGAACATGGCGATGGAGAGTTCCTCCGAGTCCATGCGGGGCGGGGGCCGTCGACGGGGTGCGGCGCCGGCCGCGGCGTGGTTGAGATCTGAGGGAACGCGCGTGGCATCGACAAAGTCGGGCAAGTCATTGTTATTGTTGAAATTACCGTTAACGATGTCACCGTTGCGGCACGGGATCTGCGGCGGGATAGTGACAGGCGAGGTGGCAGCATACAGCGGCGAATCAGGCTTCCAGGTGAGGCTGTGGGTGCTGCGCACAAGAAGGACGAGTTTACCGAGGACGGCGAATTCGAGCTTAAGTTTGACGCTGTAGATGACGGGTTTGATCATGGTTTCGAGGATGTAGAGGTCGCGGTATTCGATGACGAGAAGTCCCAGATCCAGAGCGATGATGATCAGGTTGATGGCGACGAGCTGGTACATGATTTTGCGTTTGCCGCGGTCGGGATCGAGGCGGAGCATGCGGATGGTTTCCCAGATGTAGAGGACGGAGAGGATGAATTCTTGCAGACAAAAACCGGTCATTTGGATCTTTTCCATAATGTTGTAGCCGGAGATGAAGATGGCTGGGTGGGAGGAGAGGTTGGAGCCATAGGTGAGGACGGAGGTGGGGATGTGTAGGAGGAAAGCGTCCACGATGATCATGGTGAGGACGCGGCGGAGGACCTTCGGATTGGGGAGGACGAGATGCAGGCGCGAGTAGAGCACCACGGATTGGCCGGTTACCATGGCATACCAGCCGATGGTAATGAGGGTGATGGAGAGGGCGGTAGCGGACGTGAGAGCGAAGTATTTGAGCAAAAAGCCGGCTGAGTAAGGAATCAGACCGAGAGCGGAGATCAGAAGAGACCAGAAGTAGGGACCGCGAAACTGGGAAAAGGTCACGAAGACGAGAATGACCAGTTCGATGGCGTTATACCAGGATAGAGCGGCCATGGTAGCGATGACGATGCGCAGGGCCAGGCTGTTGCCTGAGTAGGGCCCAACCACGCCATTGCCGGGGGAGGCGGTAGGGCCGGTGATCATGATGCCATTGCAGAGAAGACGATATACGATGGGAAGGAAGAAAAGGGAAGTAGAGAAGAGAGGAAGAGGAAGCAGAAGTAGAGAAAGAGGAAGAAGAGGAGAGAGAGGAAGCGAGACTAAGCGAGTCAGAGTAAGGCTAGACGAGAGAGCGACTAAGAAGAGGAAGAGGCAGACAGAGACAGACAGAAGCAGAGGCCGATGCAGGATCCGGGGCAGGCGGGCAATTACCCGACATGTAATGAATCAAGAATCATGACAGGTCGTCGGGCTCAGATCCTTGCCGTCTGGGGACATTGAAAGGCAGTCAGTGCCCGGCTGACGGGCGGGGGCCGGCGTGACGCGGTGCATTGTTATTTGCAGTTGCCCTTCGCCTGGTTTATTGGGCGGGGAGTCTGTCCTCTCTGTTGTCATTATTATTGTTCAGCTGAGCATTTAACCTGTTAGTTTTGGTTAATGTTGTGTTAAACTCTGAGATACTCCGTCCTGAGGTGGATACTAGATAGGGTTATGTTGGCATACCTGCTATGCTATACTCCCCTTCCGTATGAAATCATATAGGAGAAGAATAAAGGAGAAAAAAACAGTCCTTGCATCCCCACGTGCATTATCCCCCCATTATTTTTATTTTAATCATTCATCATGTTATTTTTATCCCTCTGCTCCTTGTCTGAAGAGATAATAATAACTCCAGGGGCAGTAACAGCAGCAATAGCCACTGCCACACACAAGGCTGAACTCATTACTTGCTTGCTGACTTGAGTTTCAGTCTAGTCGGCATTGGATTCCGATCATCACATTCCTTCCATCATCCATCATCACAAATCACTCATAATAATTAATTAACCCCAAAAATAAAGCATGCGAAAAATAACTCCACCCCCAAACTCCATCCCAATATAATTCTATCCCTCTATTCCATCATCATCATCACCATCATCATAATGAACTAACCATCACCCCCTGCCCTCCCCATTATTACTCCCATTCCCATCACCACCAAACGAAGCAACCACTCTATCCACCTCCCCCCTAACCTCCGGCATCGCCCCCCTCATCTCCCTCGCCAACACATCCCGGAAACTCCCAAACGCCTCCTTCTTCCCCTTCAGATCTTGATTCCCGCGCTGAATCAACTCGACGAATTCTCTCGTGTAGATATCCGGATTCCTTGCTGCATCTACGTAGTCGATAATCTCCGGGGGAAGTTGGATGCTGTGGATGGGAGGGTCGTTGCTGTTTCCTGGTGATTGGGATTGTGCGTCGGGGTGATTATCGGAGGTGTGTGTGCTGAGTGTGGAGAGCGCGATAGTGAGGTTTTTTCTATACACGTAACACGTAATCCGTTAGTAGAGTTATAAGTATCAGGTGAGGAAGATGGCAGGGATAGGAAGGAGGGTAGGTACATTTTGCGAACGAGCTCTTGCTGGGTTTCGGGACCGAGGTAGCCGTGGACGGCGGATTGGATTTCGAACAGGTGTTGGATTACGTCTTTCAGGTCGGCTGAGGCAGATTTTAGTATTTAGTTGGATTGAAAAACAGGGTATACGTACTGTCGACCGTGCTGAGGGGAATGGGAGCCATGATGTGCTGCTCTGAAACGTGAAGCTTGGAGCTGAGGCGGATTCTTGTTGGATGATGACGAGAGCAGAGAAGAGTCGAGTCCGGGGTAGACTAGCCGTTTTGGGTAATACGATGCTCCATTCAGCTCAACTACGGATCCCGCCGCTTTACACTCGTTGCTTAAAGAGCATGCACCACATCTTACTTTGCTTTGAATGGTCGCGTCCCTAACTCTGCCAATGAAGCTGTTCGGGAAATAATTGAGTACTAAGCCAATCTGACTGGTTCTGTACGTCTTGCGGGAACATGTAGAGCCCTACGCAACATTTACAATCAATGTAAAGACACGATACCCTTCTCTGGTCTAACCTTCTATTATCCTGATATTGATTCAATATGGCAAATGAAATGTATATGACTAAAATATTTCAGTCACTCCAGTCGCCTGTGAAGAAGATCGCGAGCCTGTGCGAAAGCCCACGGCTGGATTTATGCATCAGCTACCTGAACGTGACACCATTTTATGCAAGAAAACTTGATCAGTGAACAAAATACCCAAAGAAATTACCACAGTCAAGTTATACAGCATGTCTCCCTGATATCCCTATTGGAAGTTGAGACTGAGATTGTAATCCACATGCAGTCTGCGATGATCAGCGAACAAAAATCCCTAAAGGACTCACCGTGAGTATCTACAGCATTCAAAACTGAGAAAGAAGCAATTATCAAGGTCAAGGCTTAGATACTATACATAGAACCCGTATCATGTCCTCTTTCCATTAAAGAATTACGATCAGATCATCAACATACTCACTCTGCATCTGCTTTTTCTTTTTCTATTAAATTTATTTTCACAATACACAGACACAAGGATATCGACAAGATGAAGTTATTCACTATTCTTTATGCAATGCTCTTCGCTACCTTTGCGGTAGCACTGCCCGCACAATCTAATGGTCAAGACGAGAACACACTTGAGAAGAGACAGAGTGTACGTCTGGTTCCCTGCTTGAGAGATAGATGACTTGAAGATTATGAGCTAACAGTACTGGGATATGAATAGCCTGTATGTGATTAATCTTCCCTGTCTGAAAGATAACTGGAGATTATAGGCTGACAGTGATGATGACATATGAATAGTGTGTATGCGATTTTCCCTTCCTGCCTAAGATAGAGATGATCAGAGAATATAAACTGACAGTGATTGAACGTAAATGGGTTATCCCTGGTGGTGGGTGACCCTTCCTAATCCCGAGAGAGATAACATTAATAGGCTGATAGTGATTCGAATATGGATAGTTCGTATGTAACTGACCTTTTCAATCCGAGTGATAACTTCAGATTATAGGCTGACAATGATGTGATTTGAATAGTTGGTATGTGATTGACCTTCATGTGCTTCAGACATGACTGGAGAATACTATAGTACTATAGACTGATACTGATGGAAATCCTGATAGGCGGTATGTGATTAACCTTCTCTGCCTTCCTCAGAGAAGCCTTGAGATGAGTATAGGTTGACGGTGATGGAATCTGGATAGTGGTCCCTGTGAGTGAGCCTTACTGTCTAAGACTTGACTTGTTGTACTGATTTAGCAATAGTAAACGTCTTGCCGTGAACTGCCGGATATTGCAGTATCGCCCAATCCCTTAATCATGTAAGACTTCTCTGAATTACATTATGCTTGTTGTTCACTAACGAACTTTTATTGGAAAGTCCGAGTTATACTGTACTATTCCTTTGTGAGTATGTCATGGATGATTAGGCACTAAATCTGGATAGGGCTCTTTAGACGCCTTGGTTTAGGTTTTCCCTATTAAATTAGGTTTCCCTATACTGTTATGCAAATGCAAAGGCTTCTTTTATACATTGTAACCTTTCTACATGTTCTCTTAGTAGTCTTCTGACAGTCCAAGAGTAATCAGCACGCACCGACACGCTCATGCACAATCCTAGCTGATCCCAGAGCGAGAAGCGGCGCTAACTTGGACCTATTTTGAAAACGGAAAGCCGTCGGCTGTTTAACAGTGTATACTCATAGAACTATGATTCAATGCAATGCTCGCTCGCTGATACAAGTCTACCTATGTATACCAGATTACGCTCTATCTATATTCAACCCTCACATCTGACTCGGCTATATCTCGCGCGTCCGCAGCGGCACCCGCGCCATTTCGATCTCCGTCTCCATCTCTAACCCCGATAGGCTTGGAAATCGCCGACTAAAGTTGGCTTCCCAGTCATCACCTGCCGTCGTTGCCGAGCTCACCGTTGGACTAGCCGGCTGGCTCTCCGTCCGCGTCTCGATACCCCCCACTCGGAGCCCCTTGGGCTTGGGTGGCAGGGCCGGTCGCGACGACCCGGTGCGCTGAGAGGCCGCATATCCTGTCGATGCCGTCTCCTGTCGGGGCATTCCGCGCGATTCGTATCGCTCCTGCGTCGATGACGCTGTCGTGCCGCTGACCCGCGATCCCCGCGTGTCCGGACGCGCCTCCGTGGGCTTTGCCTGCAAAGCGGCGCTTGACTCGTCCGTGTATCGCCCGTAGCCCGTCGCCGTCTTGGGCGGAACCGGTGGCCGGTTCGACTCGCTCAGCAGCGACTGCACCTTGCTCTGGATCGCCTGCGACCGGGACCCGTCGCCGCCCTTGAAGCCGCCCGCTCCACCCTCGGCCACCCGCCGACGGTACTCCTCCGCCGCCTTGGCTACACGCTTCTCCTCCTGGGAGAGCCGCCGCCGCTCCAGCTCCCGCCGCATCTCCGGCGAAATGTCCTCGCTATCCATCTCGATTAGATCACTGGCCGGCTCTGCCGTCATCTCCGCCGAAGGCAGCACGGGCTTGGGGAACTCTTCCGCCACGGGAGACTGCGCCTTGCTTTCTTGGTTACTGTGTTCGAACCGCCGGAATGCATCGCCAAATCGTCCCGCAAACAGCGTCTTTGTGCCCGAGAGAGACAGCGTCGACAAGCTCGATCGTTTTGTGTGCTTGGACGTGCCGCTGTACCGCTTCTCGCGCTTCCGGCTGCTCTCCTCTTCGCGTGCGCGCAGATAGTCCACGTCCGACGAGATGTTGCGGTCGTATGGCTGATCCGTTTCGGTGCGTGCGTGTTGCAACGGTGCGCCGCCTTCATACGGGCTGCGTGGCAGGTCAAGGGAGGAGCGTGCGCTCTCCGACCCGCGAGGCAGCTCGAAACGTGCGCTAGCGTGGACAGAAACAGGCCGGGAGCGGCTGTTGGCTGACCGAGATCGAGCAGGCTCCTCCACATCCAAGTTGGTAGGTCGGAGTCCGTCAAGCGACGGCCGTGGTGAAGCAGACAGATCGGAGACGCGGTCGTTCGAGACTCGCGGGTTGGGGAACGACGAAGAGGTGGGTGACGGAGCTTTGCTTTGCCGAGCTGCTTTCTTGTCCGCCTCTGTCGGCCACGGTTGGCTGGATGGCCGACGCTGGTGGTCGCTGGACGGGAACTTGAAGATGGGCCGGCTGGATGGCTTGGAGTTCGGCACGCCAGGCGTCGCCGGCGGAGAGGTCATAGTACCAGTCGAGACCATGGCGGGTTTCTGCGGCACAGGCTGATACAAGGGAACCTGAGGCCGGGCCTCCTCGCGGTAGGTCTCGATCACCTCGGACGACTTGGTCTTGATCGGAGCCGGTTGGGGACGACGTTGAATGGTCGGCTCCGAAGTTGTCTTGGGAAGAGGGTCATTTTCTGCCGCGGGGTGTTTGGCGAACGCATCATCTGCCAGAGCATTGGTAAGTCGTTGAGCCAAATCTTCATCTTCCGTTTTCTCGGACACGGTGGGTTCAAAGTCGAATTTGCCCCCTTTTTCGTGCAGGATCTGGAAATGATCCAGCGACGGAAACCGGTTCGAGAACTCATCCGCGGACTCCCGCTGTCGGTTCCCAGCATCCAAGACGGAAAAGGGATCGCCACCTCCGCGAAATGGCGACGGACTCGGCTTGGCCGAGTTGTGCTGCGACGGGGTTGGTCTGGTCGGGCGGCCTCGTCGCATGGGGGCAATCTCGGGGATGATCTGCGTCTCTTGCATTGGGGGAGAAAAGACGGCGCCTACTTGCGGCGTTTCTGTGGGTGATGGCGGCAGCTCCTGGTAACGGCGGGCTTCCGACGTCGAGCGATTGGCGTAAATCTATCTGTGTGAGCCTTCGCATTGCGTCTGCAGGTATCTGACTTACGTCTCGGATCGGCACGTCTTTGCCTTGCATGTGGCAGATCTCGCGCACCACTTCAAAGATATTCGGACGCTTTTGCGGGTGTTCTTTCAACATCCAGGCTAGAGAAGTCAGTATCACGCCTTCCTTTCGCGCAGAGGGTCTTACCAATCAGCATCTTCAAGCGGTCGGAGAAGGGTGGGTAGCTTGGGAATTTGTAGCTTGCATTCAAGATGGCCATCTGTCCCACCTCCTCAAACGGAGTCGTGTAGTAGCACAATTTATATAGGAGGACTCCCAACGCCCAGATGTCGCTCTTCTCATCAATCGGCTGCTTCCGATAGACATCGATCATCTCCGGACTGCGGTACTGCAGCGTCGTATGGCGCTGCACGTCATCCTCAATCAGCCGGCCTTCCGCCGCCGAAGTGGCCGCGGGGCGCGGCGGCGCAGTAGACCCAAAGTCGCACAGCTTGTAAATCGTGGAGCCTCCGTGACGGGAGATCAGCACATTCTCGACTTTGAGATCCCGGTGCAACAGCGGAGGCTTGAGGTAGTGCATGCATGCGACACCCTCGGCCACGTCCGAGAAGATCTTGATAATCTCCGGCTCGGTCAACCGGTTCTGCAAGCGCGTATTCATGAAGTCGATCAGTCCGCCGCCGGCGCAGAACTCCATGAGGAGAAAAACCTCGTATCCGCCGCCCTGCAGTTGCGACGCATGGGAGTCAATGTAGGTGACGATATGGCGGTGTCCCTTGAGCTTCTTCATCGTTTCGACCTCCGTGCGCATGTTGGCCAGGGCCGCCTTGTCGGGGACGGCCACGCGCTTCAGCACTGCACGATCGGAGCCATCGACGGGTTGAGGCAGGCGCACGACGTAGACGTGGGCGAAACCGCCCTCGGAGAGGTATTTCTCGACCACGACCCGGTGGCTGCCAACCTGGACCTTGGTCCCGGGCAGAAAGGTGCCTGCGGGGGCATTGATGGCGGCCATGGGGTTGTAGACGGGGATCGGGAGATGCGGAGCCGCCTGGGACTGGTAGGACATGGTGATGGGACGGGCCCTCGAGGGGCACGAGAGCGATGGTCAACAAGGACAGGCTATAGCGGCATCAAAGGGAAACGCTGATTGCGCGCGAGAGAGTAAGAAATAGAGGTCGGGTGAGGCTGAAGCCGGGGCAGGACGGAGAGAGGACAGTTGGCGGCGGGGAAGGGGGCGGTACCTGACAGGGCCAGGGGCAAGAAATGACGCCAACAGGGGGGGGTGGAGAGGAGAGGAGAGGAGAGGAAGCGGAGGAAGGAAAAAGAAAAGGGAATTTCTGGGAAACAGGTCGAGGGGATGGGAAACAGCAGCCAGCAGAGCCGGATGGAGATCAGACTGACCAGCAGCAGCAACGCAGCAGGCGTCAGGACTGGAGACTGGAGACTGAATGGATTGGATGGCGTCGGCCGGCTTCCGTTAAGCGTGGAGTCACCGCCTGGCAGTAAATTTGGTGCAGCAAAAGGCTGAAACAAGGCGGATCTCGGATTGCAGGCTGACAGAGGTTGTTTTACTATATACTGGGAGAGAGAGAGAGAGACAAGAAGTTTTGAGGCAAAAGTATCTCCCCTCTTCTCTCTCCTTTCCATCTCCGCAACTGACTTAACGCATCCCGTGATCGCTTGGTGCCTGGAGATCACGGACGGACATCATCGTGATCATCCCGGCTGCAGGCGGTCAGAATCCGGCCATAGCAGTGATGGCAGCGGTCAGTTTAGCTTTACTATCTACTGCGACTGGACGGAGATTTAGGATTAGTGTTTGATGTGACTGGAAGTCATCCGTGAGGCCATCCGACTCGTCTGTTGCCTGAGGCAGCAAAGAGAGGAGATTTACACGTGATAGTTATTAGTCATGAGTTGAACCAACCAGCGAATGCGGAGACATCAACCAATCAGACGACTGCCAGTTCCCCACGCGATGCTCCAAAACAGCGAAACCAAAACAAACACAAACACTCGATATCTGGTGATCCTGCAGAGATATCGGCATATCTGATCTTTATTGTTGCAATCAGCGGATACCACAAGACATCCATGGTAGTCTACCCAGTAGATAACTCTAAGCCCATCCGGCCAGGGTTCTAATTAAGGTTGTGAGATCCCAGCCGGGTTCGCGGCGGATGCTTGTGCTCTATAGACTTCCGCTGGAATGTGGACGTGCCACTGCATTCATCACGACATTGTATAGCAGGATGCACCGGTGCTCATTGGTAGAGCAGTTAGAATTCCAATCGCTCTCCAGAATGTAGTGGACAGCTGAAGCCGATCCCATCGGTATTTCCATTAGACAAGGGATCACATCAGAGACAATCAATCGGTGGTGCTCAGCAACTGAAACCCAGCCATTGATCATCGTTTGTCCCGATTTATTGTCAACTATTCCATCTCCTTCCACTGCCACATCAGCTACGTTACACAAACAGCAGATATTCCACCGCTCAACGGGGAAGCAATATTGTATATACATAGTACATCTATCTCATTACGCTGGTCGCCAGGGATCCGTTAGCGTTGCTGCGAGGATCACACAAACGGAGTCGATCCTGATTAGGCGCTCCTCTTGCCGCCAGCCGATCTCTCATCCCACGTCGCCTTTCTTCTTCGTCTTCTTTCTCCTCCCTCGCTATCATTGTGTCACCTACTAATATTGTTCCACCAGGTATGTGCTCTCACTGACGATTGCTGAGCTATCTGACCTCCTATCTCGATCTAGACGCGCTGAATACAGCGCCTGCCGTTGTTTGATCATGTCGCCTCGATCGCAAGTCTGCCTCCACTAGTCATCAACAAGCGATATATATTATATAAACATCAAGCCTAATCATCCTTAACGACCGCTTACCATGGACGACGGTCCTCCTCCACCCCCTCCCCCTCACGGCGAGAAACCACAAACCACCCAGGGCGAATATCGCAAGACTTCCGACCTTCCTCCGGGAAATTATGACATCTTTATCATCCCCCCTCACTCCGCCGGCTCCGGATTCCTCTACCTTCCCTCCCTCCAGCCACAACGTAACAGCTTCATCGCAGGATCCGCCTGCACACTCTTTGCCGTCCTGCTTTGGTCCCTCATATCACCCCTTCTGAAAGCATGGTGCGCTGCCACTGTCGCCAGCGGCAATGGCCTGGCCATCGCCGTGCTGGCTATCGGAGTTGGGGTCGCCGGGTGGGCCGTGGGCGCCTCACAATCCGATTCTGGGGGAGGCCGACGACGGCCCAATTTTGGATTTAATACCGGCGGGGGTCCAGGCGCGGGTGGACCCTCCGGCAATGGCGCCGGAGGTGAGTATGCACGGGGACAGCAGCATGGGGCCCAAAATCAGGGCCCGAATGGTCATCCTGGTGGACAAGGGCAAGGACAGCAGCAATATGGGGGCAACTTCAATTCGGGTCCGCCTCCGGGTGCAGGCCAGTATGGCGGGAACCATCAATACCAGAATACTGGTGGGCCCGGAAGTGGACCACCCCCGCAACCGCCGCCGCAGGCAGGCGGATCAAATAAGACAGGTTCGTCTGCCACCGGCTCTGAAAGCAAACCTCAAAGTGGAGCTGATTGGGAGAAGGCCCGTGAAGAGACCCGGCGCAAGGAGGAGCTGCGCCGCAAGATGGAGGAGTTTAAGCGGAAGCGGGAGGCCGAGCAGCGCGAGAAGCAGCAGAAGCGCGAGCGCGAGGCCATGGAGCGGGAGCTGCGTGAGCGCAGGGAGCAGCTCGAGAAGGAGATGGCTGCCGCCAAGGAGGCGGCCGCCCGCGAGGCCCGAGAACGAGCGGAGCGCGAAGCAGCCGAGGCCAAAGCCAAAGCGGAGCGAGAGGCCGCGGAAGCTCGAGCCAAGGCGGAGCGAGAAGCAGCGGAAGCGCGTGCCAAGGCGGAGCGTGAGGCCGCGGAGGCCAAGGCGAAAGCGGAGAAAGAGGCTCGAGAGGCCCGCGAGCGAGAAGCACGTCGGGCAAAGGAAGCCCGAGAACGAGAGGCGCGACGCGCCGCCGAAGCCAAGGCCCGTGCTGAGCGCGAGGCCGCGGAGGCCAAGGCCAAAGCAGAGCGTGAGGCTGCTGAGGCAAAGGCCAAGGCGGAGAAAGAGGAGGAAGAGCGTAAAGCTGCAGCTAAGAAGGAAGCTGATGCCAAGTTTGCGGCACTCAAAGAGGCTGCCGCGAAGAAGTATGCTGAGAAGAAAGCCAAAGATGCGCAGGAGGCGGCGGCCAAAGAGGCCGCCAGCCAAAAAGCGTCTAGCACGTCCACTCCCCGCACACCATCACCCAAGAAGCCTGCTTATTCCCGCACCGACACTGACAGCTCATATTCCAACTTTCGACCGACTGACCGTCCGCGCCGGCCGTACGGCGGTGCCACCTCGGGGTCATCAGTGTACTCGGACTCTTCATACGCGCCGTCACAGACAACAGCACGAACGACCCCGCCGCCATCGAATCGCGGCGCCTATGAGACCAAAGACCCTGATAAGATTGTTATCAAGGGTGTGTTCGAGTTCAACAACAACTTTGTGCGCAGCCCTGTGGCGCAGCTTGTCTCAGGCCAGGGCATGGTCAGCGACGGACTGGTCTTAAGGATCACGACAGAGGGGCTCTTCATCGACGACGATGTACGCGGCGTTGGCCAACGCGAATGGGACGTTAAGGCATGGACGATGAACCTCGTCGAGGTATGGTGTCCGAAATTCGGGGCGCAGCGTCAACCCCCGAAGCCCCCGCCGGGGCCATTCAATCGGCGGGGGAATGAACCGACCCCAGAGGAATCGGAAGCATTCCTGGGCAACCTGCTGAAGATGTGCAAGAACACGTGCCGACTATCGACCGGGGTAGGAGAGGATCAGCGCTCGCTGCATGTGTTGCGGGCGTCGGTGCGCGACCACGAGGGCAAACGGTATGTGTTTGTGTTGCAGGAGACGGAGGGATGGAAGGTGGCGATTGGGCTGCAGCGGTTGCGACGGGGGACGTTGTCGCGGGCATTGGGGGTGATGGGGTTGGGAGTGAATGAGAGTCGGATGATATTATCAGGATTAGGATATGAGTGATGATACCTTGTATATACCAGTACACATAATGAGCTTTCACCAGTACAGCAGTATGCCAGTATGCCAGTATACCAGTGTAATATAGTGGTGTTAGCCCTAAGCCAGATATCCATCCACACATGTATACACATACAATGTATACACACCATAGATAAATAATTCAACCCAGATAAACAAAATTAGAATCCATCATCACCAACCCCACAGTCAATAATCAAGGCATGATGGAAACCCCTTACAACCTTCCCAGGGTCATGACGTCGGAACCAAACAATACTCTCCCCGCGTAACCCCAACCTGACCCAACTGACATCAACCCGGCAAAACCATCGCATACCACCACCACCACCACCATTATTACTATAATAAATATCTACAGCAACTACAAACAACAGAACAGAACAGAACAATGAGATGATACCCGAGAAAGAAAGAGAATGTCCCTCTGGACAATCAGCCTCGTCACACAGATCCTGTGTCTGGCGCTGGTATCGGCATTTGTCGCGCTACGGGGGGTTGTAGCGTGGAGGTTTAAGAAGGGGGTTGATGTTGAGGATGGTATACCTGCCCCCTACTATCTGCAGAGATGAATGTGTTGGCTAATGAGTTGATAGGGTTTTGTTTTGTATCGTTGGTATATACACCACCCTACACTACCCTACCCATATCCATACTGAGTATAGAAGGAGAGAGACTGATATAGTGAATGAATTGGGATAGATATTCTTCGACGCATACTGCATATTAGTTCTGTTTTGTATATTCCCATACCATTCTTCTCCCTACATATACCCAATGCATAGCATAATACTGATAAAGAAAATAGACATCTTCAACAACGGCACCCAACCCCCCTCAACCCTCACTCCATCACAAACAACCATCGTGTACAAGGTACAACCCCCATACCCATATCCCCCCCCCCTCATTTCCACACTATACTAACAACCTCCCCCCACCTCCTAAAGTTGTTTTATACATTAACAATAATCTACGTCCCCATGGCCCTCCTCGCCAAACTAACCCTCCTCACCATCCTCGCCCGCCTCTTCATCGTCCGCCGATCCCAAACCCTAACCGTGTACCTCACCATAACCCTCACAACAATCTACTACATCACCATCTTCTTCATCAAGATCTTCATCTGCAACCCTGTCTCGACATTCTGGACGTCGCCCAATAACCCACATAACCCTAATTGTCTCTCCGAGGGGGCGGTGTTTCTCGCTGATGCGATCATGAGCGTTATCACCGACCTGGCTATCCTACTCCTGCCCATCGGGTTGATGTTCCCGCTGAGGCTGGGGGTGGTGAAGAAGGTGAAGGTGGGGGCTATGTTGGGGTGTGGTGGGTTGGCTGTGGGATTTAGTATCTATAGGGTTGTGCTTGTTGTTGGGGTTGGGGTTGGGGGTTTGGGGAATTCGGAGGTGTATGCGAGGATATTACTTTCTGGGTTAGTAATCTTCTATTTCGGCCATTTATGGGGGTTGGTCATGGGGGTTTGGTGTGATATGCTAACTGGTATCTAGGAACGCAGAAGGAGGTTTCGGGCTCATTTGTAGTTGTATCCCTGCGCTGCATATCCTCGTGTCGAGGGTGAAGGCGAAGATGAGGAAGGGGTCGAGGTCGACTACAGGGAAAGGGTCTTCTGCTATTGCGTCTGGGGATGGGAGTGGGAGTGGAAGTGGTGGTGGGAAGAAGAGGGATAGGGGTGTTTCGAGTAGTGGGGGCACTGCGGCGCCGATTGTTATTACCAGTTCGCCGGAGGATGTGCTTCATGATCCTGGGGGGTTGCTTGCTTCGTGTGATGATGATGATGGTGATCATGTGTATGATCAGAATGAAGAAGGGGAGGGACGGGGTGAGAAGAATGACAGCAGGGATAATAGGGAGGAAGGATGGGTGTAAATACAGTGTTCACTACTCAGAATTTACTCAGAAAATACTCAGTACAGCATTAGGATCATACATTCATCCTATCCCAACTCATCAGTCATCCCAGGTATATAACGCCTCTGGCATCCGCCAGCATACTATCAATCAATAATCAATAAGACACTCCGTCCACAACGGATGAAGGAAAAACCAAAGGAAAATAAGAAAAAGAAAACCAGTCTATCGCCCAGTCTGTCATGCGGGTGGGAATCAGAGGAAGCAAATCGAACAATCAACAGGAACAGCAGCAACTTTTAGCATGCACGCTGTCTAAAAGGGAAATCCGCCGGGGAATCCTCCGCGCTGTCCTCCTGCGTGCGCAAAGCCGCCGCCACCGCCGTTCATCATGTTGAACAGCACGCTGGGATCGATGTTGATATGGGTTCCTCCCATACCACCCATGCCTCCCATTCCTCCCATACCGCCCATACCGCCCATGCCTCCCATGCCGCCGAAGCCGCCGTGCGAGAACATGTCAGCGGGGTCCATGAGGTCGTCGCCGTTGTCGTAGGCAGCACGTTTCCTATGCTGGTTAGCAAATGCCAAACACCACATTTAGCGAGGAACTTACTGAGGATCACTCAAAGTCTCATACGCTTCACCAATCTCCTTGAACTTCTCGTCACCAGCATCACCGTCCCGGTTCTTGTCCGGGTGGTACTGGATCGCCATCTTGCGGTACGCCTTCTTGATCTCTTGTTCGCCCGCGTCCTTGGACACACCGAGGATCTTGTAGTAATCCTTGCGCTGAGCCTTCTTCAGCTCAAACTCGGCCTTTCGGATCTCCTCTTGGATGCCCTTCTCGGTCGGGTTCGACTCTGCCACCGCCTTGTAGTCACGCACAGCTTCTTCCCAGTTGCCGGCACCGCCGTGCGCCTTGGCGCGCATCTTCTGCGCCTTGAGGTACCCGGGGTCCAGCCGCAGGGCCTCGTTGCAGTCCGCCACTGCGTTATCGTACTCCTTCAGGTTAATGTAGGCCTGCGCCCGGTTCTGCAGGATCTTGGCGTTCTGGTCCTTGTTCTTCGGGTCGACGGTCAGCGCCTCACCCCACAGGTCGATGGCGCGACGGTAGTCCCTGGCCTTGAAGGCTGTGTTACCCTCTTCCTTGGTGCGCACCAGCTTCTGCACGGTCCGCAGCAGCTTGATCGCCGCCTTCATATCCGGATCCAGACCCAGGCACATCTTCAGCAGCTTCAGCGCCTGGTCCGTGTCACCCATACCATAGAAGGCCCGGGCGCGGATCATCAGCGCATCAGGGTCCTGGCTGTTCACCCGGAGCATGCTAATAGCAATGTCCTGTGCCTTGCCGTACGAGTTGTCATTGCCCATCTTCAACTGGGCCTCTGCAGTCATCAGTGTCCACTTGCGGGGCTCCTTGACACCTTGTCCGAGGAGCTGACGGGCCTGGTCGAGGCAGAACAGCACCATGGAGACACCGCGGTCCTGCGAGAGAGCCTCCTCCGCCTGGCTGACAAAGCGGAGCATCTTCTCTGCGGCCGCACGGTCAGTAGCGGAGGCCGGGGGCTCAATCCGAGACAGCACATCAAGGGCATCCGTCGGACGGCCCAAAGCGGTCAGGATACGGGCCAAGCGGTACATGATCTTAGTGTTGGTGGGGTCGAGCTCGCGGGCCCGTTCGCAGTCCTCCAGAGCAGCCAGGTATTGGTTGGCCGCCATGTATGCTGCAGCCCGGTTGGACAGGTAGACGGACGAGTTGGGGCTAATCTCGAGAGCTGTACCATCGTTACTAAACTGCCGCCAAAATCTGCCTGAAGTCAGGTATTAACCTACCCTTGTTGAATTCCTCAATGGCGCGGGCATAGTTGCCATCCTTGAAGAATTTGTTTCCAGCCAGCTTGAAGGAGTCGGCCTCGGCGGTGTTCCCATTGGACCGGTGAGGGGGCGGGGTCGGACTCTTCTCCGTGTGAGTACCATTCACACCGTTGGTGGCAGAAGGGGAACCGAGGCGGGGATCGTTGGTATCGACGTCCATCGAGCTTCGCATATCATCGCGAGCGGCAGCCATAGCGGAAAGACGACGTAGTTCGTCGGGATGAAGGTTGAGCGGGTGAAAGTTAGGGTCGTGCGAGTACCGATGATGAACGGCAGACAGCGACGACGCGGACCGGGGGACGGACGAGGGTTTCGACCGGACCGAGGCTGATTTAGAGGGAGTGGAGGTGGAACGACTGTGCGCCGGACGAGTAGGTTTTCGAGGAATGGAAGGACGTTGAGTCGGAGTAGGAAACGACTGCGGATGGTGAAGCGGCGGCGTAGGAGGAGGATGGGGGTGGCGAGAGGGAGCCGAATGAACGGTCTTTGCCCGGTGAGGAGGGGGCGGAGGTCGAGTCGGGAATGAGTCGTCGGTCTTGACTCTTGCGGATGGACGTGGGGGAGGAGGGGAACTCGCTGAAAATGAAGAAGAATAAGGAGGAGGGGGGAGAGGAGAGGAAGACGGAGGGGGAGAAGAAACAGGAATCGAGCGAGTGGGAGGAGTAGGAGGAACAGGAGCAGAAGCAGTCGTTGTCGGAGTAGATTTAGACTTGGAAGAAGAGGATTTGGAGGAAGAAGATTTGTGACGAGAGAAAAGATGCGGGAGCCCCATCGCCGCTGGGCTGACTGTGATTGGTGGCGCCGATCGAAGGGCAGCGAAGGCGGTGGAATTTGTTTCTCTGCTTTCTTCTTTCTTTCTTTCTCTCTCTGTCTCTGTCTCTCTTCAGATCCCGCTGGTGTTATCCCTCACTTGACGCGGGTCTGCACCTGGTTAATTTATCAATTATTATTAGTCGTGTCGGTGGACAGTCAGTGTTAATCTATCACTGTTTCTGTCACTCTCTTTCTTTCTTTCGGTCCTGTCGTAATCCCGATTTTTTATCACTGCTCGTATCGGTCTTAAATCCGTCTCAAGCACTCATCATGATCGGTCGTATCTGTTCAGTTGCAGCTTCGGAAAAGAATGCCAGCGGAGAGTAGTATCAATCAACTTCTAATGTCACTTCACTGCTCGCGGAAATAAAACACAAGCACAGCACAGCACAGCACAGCAAATGTCACAAACACTCAAGTCAAGTCAAAAGTCAATACTCAACAAAACACAGATGAATGAAGTGATGTGAAAAAAAGTTCAACGGCGCTGGCCTCCATCTGTCACGCTGCTACTAATATTAATAGTCTCCATCCAGACGGCCCTCCCAGTCGCTCGAAAATTCGGAGGCTGGGTCACCGACCATCACTGGCTAGCGTCTTGCCTTCGTCATGCGAGTTGCCAACAGCAACACTACGCGCTGCCAATGATTCCCCTCCATTCTACGCCTCTAGTCTGTCATGGCGGTCGCAGTTTGACAAGCATTTTCTCTTTTAACTATGTGGCCTAGACTATCTTGACACTGCGGTTGGCTTATCGCTCCGTCACACCTCTCTCTACCCAAGCTGGGGCCACCCGCATGTTGGTGCGTCCAGTCCACGTTTACCCTAACTGCAGACGTGTAACATGGCTTTCCTTCTCGCTGCCTCTCTGTTCTTCTCCTGCTCTCCCGCCTTCCATCTGCATCGGTCCTGCCTCCCCACAGTGCTCCACTTTCTTAGGCACGGCTGCTATTCCCCTGTTACGAAGAACGAACTCCTCCCAAAAGGTGTCCCAGTAGCAAATCCGCCTCAGCTTCCTTGATGATCTTAGCGACTTCACTCTTAATGCGGATCTGCTCTTCCGTATACAGCTTGATCTGTGGTGCGATCAGCGCCCCATGGTAGTCCTCTGAAATCCGCTGTAGTCTATTATGGATAATCCGATCCACCTCAGCTAGCTGGCCGTCAAGTAGCTTCCCAAGCTCGTGCTTCGCATTCTCCGTGCTTCCTCGGAGGACATCGTTGGCGTGGTCGTCTGCTGTCTGTTGCATCAACGCCCTGATACGCTGTAAGCTTCCTCGTCCTGTCGTGACGAGCATGTTAGAATACTTCTCGACTAGCTGCGATAGACTCTCACCTGTTTCGGAGGCACAGGCCTGGTAGGTTTCTTTCAGTCGCTCAGCGATCGCTTCGGCGAACGTTCGGTTGATACGCTTCTGCTCCTGCATGGTCCACTTCTCAGCCTGTCGAAACTGCTCTCCCATTGTCTGATGGCACGCGACGAGCGTATCTTGCAGTTGGACTCGGATTGCTTCAGGGACACCTTGCTTGACGGAATTAATCGCCTGTGTGTGGAATCGACTAACCACAGCTTCCAGATTCTCCCTTAAATAATGAAGGCAATGCGGGAGAAGGTCCGTGAAAGTCCTGTTGCGCGTTAGACTGATCCAGAGCATGCCTAGATAGCAAACACACCTCTTCCAGGATGAAGCTATCTTATCAAGCATTGGTCGGGCTCTGCAAGCGATTAGGTCGGGTTGGACTCTAGTGCTTAATCTTTGACTTACAAATCTTGATTCCAATCCTGAATAGCTGTCAGCTGTGTTTATTGCACCTGCATGGAGGGACTTACTGTCTCATGGAATACTCCCTGACGGCGACAGATGGCCTTGTATGTATTCCATCGGAGTCCCCCGGAACTGCCTGGGGCATTCCAGCGAGAGACAGCTTCGGGGAATTGGACGATTGCATGTCGCGACGCTCGGTCTGTACCATTAGCGCTGCTAGGATTTGCCATCAGAAGACTTACTTAGTTTATTGAAGATGTTTACTTGGACAGTTTCCCTGGCGACAATGTCGAAATGGTTCATATGCGCCTCCGCAGCCTAAAAGGTCAGAACTGGATTAGGAAGGAGGAAGTGGACTTACTTCTGTCAGTCCGCCAAACACACATTCAAAGTCGGCTTCAATCTCTTTGATTTTCTGCTCTGAGGCGTCGCCTGTTGCCGTGCTCACCAAACACCACAGCTTCATCGACTGCAGGATCTGGTTCAGTTGGGTCAAGAACCTCCGAGACGATTCTTCTCTGGCCTTTTCCGTGAGCCTTACGCAGTGACGCTGTAGAAGTGGTATCTCAGTCTCCTCCAGTTCGGAGAAGCCACCAACGAGCTTGGCCATATCAGTCCGGCCCCGGAGACCTTGATAGGCCCGGGTCGACACGCAAAACACAGGAAGGTTCCTTTCCAGCTCGTCATAATCACAACCTGCGGCCTGGATTGGGTTTTCGGTGTCATCTTCAAGTTCCTGGTCCAAACTCTGAACCTCCAAGGCAAAGTCGCGTTTGATCTGTAGTTTCGAAAACTTGTTCCTCGCCTCAATGCAAGATTTTATGACGGAGTGCTCCATTTGTTTCTTTCCGTCTTCTAGCTCTTTCAGCTCCTCCACTTTGCTGTCCATTTCCTCATTGATATGCTTTAGCTGAGACCGTAGATCCTTGCGCTGAACCTTGAGGTCTAAGAATCGGTTCTTGAGCTTCTCCACCATAGGAATCTCGGTGGTGCCTGTCTCATGAATGGCTGACATCTCCAAGGGCTCGCTTCCGTGTGGCTTCTTGCGTTTGGGAGTGATCTCCAATACATCACAGCCGAACTCATCGCCAGTAAGACGTTCTTCAAGTTCTTCAATCTCGGTCTCT